ACCGGGCCCGCATGCTGCTCCGAGCTCGCCTTGGGCGGCCTGCAGTGACCCAGGCGGGCCGCCGCCGTCCCCCGCTGCCGCGGGGCGGGCCGCGCGGCACGCGCGCCCCTTGGCCCCGACTGCTAGCGGCGCACTCGTTTTTCGGCCCCTCCGTTGGCGGGGGCCCGCGCGGGCTGGCGCGCGGCGCCGCCGACGACGCGACAACAACTTGCCATAACGACTAGCCCGATACGCTCGCCGCCGGGGAGGGCCTCCTCCTGCTCCTTCTGCCACTGCCCATCCGTCCTGCAGGGGTCCCGGAAGCTTCGGCACGCTCCTTCTCGGAGGTCATCGAAGCTTGATGGGTTCCTTGAGGTGTTTGGGCCCCGTCGTCTTGCACGCTTCGCGCATCCCCACCAGCCCGTCCAGGAACAACTCCAGGGGTGCTGCCCTTATCGGGGGAGCGTAGCATTATTCGGTTACTTCGGGGAGCCTCAGTGAACTACTGAGCTCTTGGATGCCCCTCGGAGTCGCTTGGGAGGCCTCCTGATGGGGCTCGTGGTGGCCTCTCAGGGCGTCTTTGGGGCCAGCGTCTTAGGGGACTCTGGGGGCCTGTCGGGGTCTTCTTGGGGGGTCTCTCGCGAGCATTGGAAGCATTCTTAGGGCCATCTTGGAGGACGTCGATCAAAGGAGGAGGGGCCATTCATCTCCGACTCGCCTCGCCCCCTCGAGCGCCCCAGGCATTGTGTCTTGGGGCTCTCGTGGGGCTCTCGTTGGGCGCTCTTGGGCGCTCGTGGGGCCTTCTTGGAGCCATCGTGGGCCCCTCTCGGTGCCCTCTTTGGAGCCATCCTGAGGCCTCGGAAGGCCATCGGAAGCAGCAAATCGAGAAGGGCAACATCGCTGGTTCCCCCTCGTTTTTGGAAGGACGTTTGCCCCCCTAGGGACGCCCTGAGGACCCGTCTTCGACCAGTCTTGGGACCACTTGTGTATTGGAGGTCATATTGACGGATTTTGCGTTTCCTCGAACAATATTGGTGCCCATCGTGGGCTATCTCAAGCTCTCTTGGAGCCACCTCAGGCAATTTTGGGCCCTCAGACTGGTCGCCACACCCGCCCAGTCCAGACCCAGAGGGATGGGCGGGAAGGGGTAAACCTTTTCCCCGACTGCAGAAGACGGGGTTGGATGATGCAACGCCCTAAACCACCTGCACACTGCTCCTTTCTAAGTATTCGAGAGTTCTTTGGTGTTTTTTTTTCGGGGGCAAGATCCTTTCCTTTCTCATGATTCTACCCTGGGCCTCTTCCTGGCCACGAGGGGGCCAGGATAGGAACGAGCACACTTCGAAAGGAGCACGACCAGAAGTGAACGACGTGTATGCCCTGGTCGCCCTGCTGCCCGAGCCGTGGCCCGAGGGAGGATCTCCGAACCGCTCGGTGCCGCCAAGGAGGAACCACCACGCCGGGCCCAGGGCCTGCACCGCTCGACCCGGCCCGAGCGATCCCGCCTCACCGGTGGAATGTGGCTTTGGAGCCCCTTTGGTGCCGCGCTGGCGGTTTCACGGCGGTGCGGTCGGTCACGGCGTGAGTCGGCGGCGAGCGAGGGGGGGGGAGCGAGAAGGGGCGGGCTTTGTCAGGAGTCTCGGGAGTTCCGCGGCCTTCCGAGAAGTTCCCGGAGCCTCCCCCGAAGGCAGACAAAAACTTCTCAGGAGGCGGGAGGGCTCCTGAGAAGGCCCCCCGCCCTCTGAGAAGGCCTTCTCCTTCCCATTTCCCCCCCTCGCCCGCCGCCTAGTTAGGTGTTTGGGTTTGTTATTGCCCCCCGTCCATGTCACCGCCGCTTTCCAGTGCCGCAGCCGCTCCTGGTATTCGTCCCTGTCCCCCGCTATTGCCATTGTCTCCGACCCCGTCGTCGCTCCTGCTTGTCTGTGATTGATGGTTTACTACGGGCTCGGGGGGGATCCCGTGGCGAAGTCGGATGGGGATAGCCTTCGCGAGCGTGGAGGTAACGGTCTAACATGCTCCATGTGGTTCATGACACAGGCTCTGTCCTTGTCCTTGTATCTGCCCATTCTACGGAAGGTTCGTGTCGTGTCGACGTGGCTGCGGCCACGCCGCGGGCAATGGATGTTGAAAGCCACGGTGGCCTAGAGCCGGTCGATATGGAACGATCCTGCGCAGTCGGAATGCCGCCGATCGTTCAGGGTTGAACGATCCACGTGGTGTCAGGAACCACCGCGCAGGTCGTCCAGCCAGGAACTTGCCGTGTTCGACGCAGCGCCTACGGCATGGCGGTGCGCGTTTGCTGCAGTGCCCCCCGAGTGAGGGTTCCTCGAGGGTCCCACCCGCGGCTCTCTGGAGGTCGCCCCCCCCCCAATGCCACGAAGGACCCCCTGTGTTTGGCCTGCGGTCGTTGCTGCTGTCCCCCTGCCTGGGTGCTTCTCCGTTGCGTGCTGTGTGTGTGTGTGTGCCCGGTCTCTCTCGTTCTCCCTTCCTCGCCTGCTGCCAGCTCGGCTCAGGCATTGATGCGATGGAGTGAGGAATCTGCCCTGTGGGTAGAAAAGTTTCGCTCCATCACCACCATTCCACGGAAACCGTGGCGGGATCGACTCTCTGATCCTGTTCCCCCCTTCCACACCCCTCGTCTTTTTCTCATGCTACATTCAGGTCGTCTTCAGCTTGTAACTCAACGGCATCCGGCATGATATAAGATTTGAGCAAGGGGCACGTTTCCTCACCCATTGCAAATCGTTTTCGCTTGCTTTTCGTGTGCAGTAATATCGTCATCACCTCATGATGCTTTCGTGTCGCGCCCGTGCTTTTAAGCTTACATGCCGTTGGCCGTGGCATTCCTGACAGCCGCCCTTCATGTAGTCATCAATTGTGCCGTGGCTTTGCGATACGTCTAGATATTATGTGCGTTTGCTTGCTTGGTTTCCAGTTTTCTTTCTCGGGCGTCCTCGGATTTCTTGAGGGGTCGTTGGCGGTCCCTGGCATTATTCGTGTGAGATGGCCCGTGCGTTCGTCGTCATATGTTTCTTAGTTTGCCCTGCTGTCTGTTGAAGTTGTCATCTGGCATGTCTGTCAGTTGCGCTCATCTTGCCGACTGCATCTTTCGTATATGTCCGGCCTGCCTTCAGATGCGGGATTCGCCGAACCTGTGCTTGCATTTTGCCTGCTGACGCGCCCCTCCTCAGGGGCGAGACAAAGAGAAGAGTGGTCCCAACTGCGCTGACGGCAGCTACTTATTCAATCACTTCGCTCACTCTGCCGGCCCGTATTGTGCCATCGCAGGCGTTTGCCTGCGCGTTCGTGGCCTCTTGGGGCTTCTTGGGGGCCGTTAGGGGGCCTCTTGGACTCTTTTTGGGGGCCTCTTGGGGAACCCGTGGGGCCTCTAGAGGGCATCCTGGGCTCTCTTGGGGGCTTCGTGGAGTCTCCTGGGGGACTCTCGGGGAGGAAAGCTCGAATCGGTGGTTCGTGTTCTCCCTCTTAGGCCCCGCTTGGGGCCTTCTTGAGGCCCTCTTGGGCGATCTTGGGTGCCTCAGGGGCCGTTTGGGGACCGTCTTGGACCGTCTGGGGGTCCTCTTGGGAGCCTTTCGGGGCGTCTTGGGGCGGTCTTGGAGGCATCTTGGGCCATCTTGGAGCGTCGGAAAGCCAAACAGGCAAGAGGATGGAAAACCTCAAATATCCGACGGGAAATCCATGACTTTAGTCGGTGGGGACCTCTTGGGAGGCATCTCGGAAGCCTCTTGGGCCGTCTTGGCGGCCCTCTTGGGCCGTCTTAGGGCCGTCTTAGGCGGCTTGGGGCGACTTTTGGGGCGTCTCCAGCCTCTCTTGGGGCCCCGTGTTGGGGCGGTCTTGGGGCCCGTTTTGGACGCCTTTTGGGCCGTCTTGGAGCCGCCTTGGGCCATCGTGGGGGCCTCTTGGGCTGTAGTGGGGCGGTCTTGGAGGCCTCTTGGGCCATCTTGGAGCGTCGGAAGGCGAAAAGGCGAGAAGGCTGACAACCCCAGAAACCTATGGAAAATCAATGGTTTTTGTCTCGTGGGGACCTCTTGGGAGGCCTCATGAAAGGTTCTTGGGCCGTCTTGGCGGCCTCTTGGGCAGTCTTTGGGGCGGCTTGGGGCGATTTGGGGGCGTTTCTGGCCCCTCTTGGGGCCGTCTTGGGGCCGTCTTGGTGGCCGTTTTGGGCGCCTCTTGGGCCGTCTTGGTGCCGTCTTAGGCCGTCTTGGGGCCCTCGTGGGCTCTCTTGGGCCCATCTTGGGGGCGTGTTGGGCCGTCTGGGGACGATGTTGGAGGCCTCTGAGGCAGTTCTGAAGGCTGTGAACCCCCCCAAAACGAAGTACATCCGAAAGGGTACTTTTCCGATAGGGAATGGGACGATTTTTGTTTGTTGGGGTTTTCTTGACGAGCCTCTTGAAGCTCTGTTTGGGTTTTGTTCGCGGCCCCTGGGGCCATCTGGAAACCATCTTGAGCGTCTTGGAGCGGTATTTCGGCGACTCGGGGTCTCTTGGGCCGTGTAGAGGTCGTCCCGGCGCCCTTCTGGGACGCTCCTGGAGCGCCCTGGGGGAGTCAGCCAGGCATCGCCCGGGCATCGGCCGGGGTACTTTCCGTCCAGGGCTCCCCAGGGGCTGCCGCGCGCGCGCGAACTAGAAATATTGTTAACCTGGTACCGTAGATCTTAGCACACTTCTGGCCCTCTGGGCCAGAGAATTCAATGCAGGTGCTGCCTGCGGCGTGCTGGCCGCGCTGGTCCCCCACAGGCCCACTCTATCAGCTGTCCGCAGTACATTTCAGCCAGGCCAGCTCAGGCCAACTCTCGACCACATGTTGTGTTATGCACATCGGCGCCAGGCCAGGCGGAGAGGCTTTGCACACCGGGTCTGGCCCATCTTGCTTCTGCTCGGCCTCATCCTGCGAAAGCTGCCGCTGCTGGCTCTCCTCGCCCGATCCAGCGCCGCCGCCGCCACCCGCCCGGCCTGCAGTGGAGCCACGGTGCGGGCGGGAGGGGCGAGGGCTGCCGACCGCAGGACGGTGCCAAAGCGGACGAGGCTGAGCGGCTGGCCACCTCCGTGGCCTACGGATTCTCCGGGGTGGCGTTCTGGCCCAAGCTGATACTGGACACGACGGGGGACATCGTGGTCGAGTCGCGGGGGCCCCGGGGGGAGCACCAGAAGAGCCACTGGCAGACGCTGCTGTCCCTGACGACGCCGGTCCCCGCGGCCGTGAAGGCCAGAGGGTGCAGGGAAGAGGCGGGGCTGCGGCGAGGTCCGTGAGCTTGGTGTCGCTCGGACGTGTGCACTTGTGTTCGGCGGGGATCATTGAGAGGAGCATCCTGGATCATCCTGCGCAAAAGCCACGCACGAAACCGAAGCGAGCACAGGGAGTGAACGTCCGAGCGATGGCCAGTGAGGAGTAGGGCCTTTGTTGCAGGGGCCAGCCCGAGAGCTCGGCCGCGTCCAGAGGCAGAACGATGCCGAGGAGGGAGTGCACACCCCCGCCAATCCGCCGGCCTGGCCCGTAGGGGAGAGTGACAGGCGGGGCAGTGGAACATGGGGCAGGGGAGGGCAGAGTGGTCGGATTGGGGATGGGGTTCGGGAAAGGTGGGTATCAAGCAGTGGCGAAGCGTCCTGACTGACTGACTGACTGACTGACAAACCATACACCAAGCGGTGCGTGGGCATGAACGCTGGCTTCAAGAAGAGCCTGGGCCTTGGCTGCACGCCGGGCCACTGCAGTCGGCTACCAGTGAGAAGCTGTACTTGTGCGCTGGGGGCCCAGGGCACCACAAACGGGAACGGCGCGCAAGTGGGTCACACTGGGACGACCAGGAGGAGGAGGAGGAGGAGGAGGAGGAGGAGGAGGAGGAGGAGTGCACGTGGAATAAAAACAGGGCGCGTATAGTACGATCGTATTGGCAAGTTTGCGATGCAGCCTCGGCTGCTGCCGTGCTACCAAAAATGCGTGCAGAATGCTTCATCATCTCACAGGCAAACTCCTTGTATGGCCTACCAACCCTCCTCGTTGTAGCATCTGTCTGTGGTGTCAATGAGCCCGAAGCGAACGTGCACGTCCGCAGCGGGTGTCCTCGATCGGCGCGTAGCACTTGACCGAAGAGCAGGATCTGCCGGCGTAGAAGTTGCTGGCTCGCTTGGGCGTGGCCTGCACGGCTCAGCACGTCTGTGTTCCGTACGCGCGAAATCCATGAAGGTCGGACGCCTATGATCTGCCGGACACACCTGTTCTGGAAGCCGTCCAACCGCCGCCGATTTTGGCAGGCACGACCCTGCTAGCCCATATAATAATTTAGACTCCACAATCGATGTGTAAATTCGCAGCTTTCGTGGCCAGGTCAAGGAAGAATGCGACCAGACTTTTCGCAACAATATGAAATTCCGTTTGGCCTCTCCGATTTTTCTGCCCAATTCGTGGCCCATGTCTGCATCTGCCGACAGATGTGCGCCAAGGTATTGTAGGTGCTGCGCATGCTTGAGGGCAGTACCATCAGGGGCGTAGATCTCGCCCTTCGACTGAACTGCGAGCACCTGAAATTTGCCCCAATGCAACTCCATTCCGTAGCGCTTGCCCGCGGAGGCAACGGCACCCAGAAGCTCGTTCAAGTGCTCTTCATTGGAGCCGATCAATAGCGTGTCGTCTGCGAAAACGCACTCGGACAAGTCGCCCTTGACGTGCGCCTCCTATGCTCCGCCGGTAAGCTTCGAGGCGGCATCGTGCAAGAGCACAGTCATGACCAGGACGAACAGCAGCGGGCTGAGGGTGCAACCCTGTGAGATCCCAGAGAGCTGGGGTCTGGGAGCGGACTGGTTGTCGCATTCCCTTACCACGAACATCCTTCTCTCCATCATCACACCGACCATGTCCCGGAACTCAGATGGAACGCCAATCCGCCGCAATGCGTCCAGCAGGCTCTCTATGTGTATACTGTCAAATGCCTTCTTCCAATCCAGCGCCACCAGGGTGACAGCCCCTCCTTTTTTCTCCCTGGCTGTTTCTATGCGCCTCCGGGCAACATAGATGGCGTGCTCGGTGCTGCGACCAGGTTGGAAACCAAATTGGGACGCCCACAATCTCTCATCCGCGCCCGCGTCCAGGAGCCTCTGCTTGAGCATGGCGGAGAATGCTTTCATGGCGACGCATTGAAGCGACAAGGGCCAGTAGTTGTCGCAATTTGCTGGGTCACCCTTCTTGTAGAGTAAGCTCACATGAGACTCGCACCAATCATCCGGAAGGTTTTTCTCCACCCACGCGGTATTGCCGATGTCGAGCAACCACTGCAAGTGCCCTGGCTCAGCAGCGAAAGATTTGTAAACTTCTACTGGGATGTCCCCTCTTTTGCAAGATCTTCCAGGGCGTAACTTCTGTAAGGCACGCCGTAATTCTGCATCCATAAAGCGATCCATAGTCGCGGTTTCGATTGTGAAGTCGCCCTTGCGGCCGGCCCTTGCGTTTCGATATCTTGCTGATGCAACTCCAGTCTCCAGTAGCTGTCAGATTCTCGAGCCACGTACTGCGATCTTGCTTGGCCGACTGCTTCACGGACTTTCTCAGTCGCAGCTCGGCGCCCCAATCGCCTGCAGTTCGCGCCTGGCGTCTCTGGGCGAAGCGTCCTGGCGTGCCTATAGTCCTACCAAACAATGTTCTAAGAACCTTTGGTGATTCCCACGAAATGTCCTTAGAACATCTCTGGCGGAGCCTGTCTTGTTGTATTGCATCGGGTTTATGTTCTAAGAAAATTGTTTTGGTTATTAGAACAGTGTTGGGATCTAAGAGCATTTCGTGGTAGGACTATAGGAATGCCGGGACGGTCGGTCCCTGCTCAAAGATTGGTCAGATTGGGGATGGGGTTCGGGAGGGGTGGGTAGGGAAACCAGGGGTATGGGCGAATAAGGGGAGGGGTCGCGGGCGGTTTGAGGGCACGAGCGGACAACGATGGCCTCTGACATGTTCGCCTTCGCTTCGTCGTCGCCCTCATCACTCGAATGGTGATTCAAGGGTACCCCCTGTCGCTACCCTTCGCCGCACGGTGCGCTGCTGAAGAACCATTCACCTCACTTCGCTAAACACCAATAACACTGCGTATTCACACCACGTGGACAGCATTGCTTCCAAACGCCGACGGCATCGCATCGATTGACAGCCATCGAGCGTGCTTGCTTGTCGTGGGTTTGTTTCCTGTCAACCGAGGATTTGGCGCAGTATTTTCTGTTTTGCCTCTGTGCCGAGATGCCGTGCAGAGAGGGTGGAGCGTGCCCTCAGTTGTCTTTCGAAACGGCCAGGGCATATCTTGTTGTAAAGTTGTTTGGTTTTCTTGGAGATCGGAAATACAAAGAAGCTCGAATGCGGAGAAACAACAAAAACCACAACACATAAACACCAACAAATGACGGCGCCAACGGAGAACGGAAACGGACCCAAAACATAGCTGCTGAAAACGGCGCCCGCCAGCTTCTCAAGGCACCCGGAATGAAAAGAAAACGGGCATGCGCGAACAGGATCTAGGCGACAGCGGTATTCCCTTCAGTCGCGGAGGAACAACCAGGCGGAGGAGGCGCTGGCGTTTTCACGGCGACGGGCACGGGCTCGGCCTCGTCTACGCCCTCGTCTGCATCCGTTCCTCTTCCTGTCCGCTTTTTGTTGGTGGCGGTCTGTCCGTGAGCTGAAAACGTACAGGAAGCGTATTGGAAACGTGCAAAAAAACGCAGCGGGCGCCCGATTGGTGGCCGGTCGTAGGCGCGTCGTTGGTGCACCGTGCGCTGGGTGGGTGTGTCGAGGTTTCGCTTGATGCCCGACCGTGGCTTCCAGTGGGCACCTGGTGGGCGCCTCTTGCACTGGGTGGGCGTGCCAGGCTTGCGCCTGGTGCCCGCCCGTGGGCGCCAAGTGGGCGGCCGCACAAGTTGCACCACATGCCTTACACCAAGTAGTTCGCACCACATGGAGTGCACCACATAGCTTGTACCACATGGCTTTCACCACACGGCTTACACCACGCTGCTTGCACCACATGGCTTGCTCCACTCAGCTTGCACCATATATGCTGCACCAGAAAGATTGCACAGCGTACCTTCCACCACATAATGCGCACCACATAATGGCAGCTTGCACCGCATAGCGTACACCAAAAACCTTGCACCACATGCAGCACAGTGGTTGCACCACATATCTTGCACCACATCGCTTGCATTGCAGATGGTGTCCCGCATAATTTACAAAAGAGCATGTTTTATGCTACATAAGTATACATGTTTAAAACGATGCGGATCGCACCACGCAGCCGACACTACACATATCGCACCACATTCGTCATGTGTGTATGCGCATATATATATATATATAGAAAAGTTGCAAAAAGAGAGAGAAAGAGAGAGAGAGAGAGAGAAAGAGAGAGAGAGCGAGAGATCCACAGTGCGATAACTCACGGTTTGCGGTCCACGCTTTCAAAAGCATTGGTTGATATTCCTACAGGTAATCATGCGGTTCCACCAATGCTCAGCTAGTTATTGCATACACCTCGGGGAGATTGTGAGGACCAGAGCAACAGCAAGAGCAACAGCTGAAGCTGGGCAAGCGTTGGCTGATGCAAGGCTGAATGCCTGACCAGGTAGGGAGGAGAGAGAGGAGGAGGGTGATGCCGAGGGGGAAATTTGAAGACGCAGAGACAGCACATACAATTGTTTTAGCCGCCCGGCATCAGGCTGGCGACACAATCAAGATTGTCGAGAGTGCAGATTTCAGGCCAGGCTCGCCTGTTGCCCTCCTCTTGCTTGATTCCCGTGCTGCGCAGAATATGTCTGGCAGTGCCCTTCGTGTCCTTTTCGGCGCGGGCTCCATCAGGCTCAGGTGTCGTCGAACTTGGACTCGTCCAACCCAGACCTCCTTCGTAGTGTGTTCTGTTTGCTTGCACTCGGGCACCCAGAGAACCTCGACCCTTTCCGCGTGCCCGGTTGTTGGCATCCCCGATCCATATTTCCTCAATCTGAGAACACGGAACTGGCCCCCAGAGTGGGAGAATGCAGAACAGTTTTCCTCTTCATGTCCGTGTTCAGAGCGTTGGAGGTCTGGGCTCTGTGCTTCTGTCCACTCCCCCGTCTTCGCAACTTCTGTCGTGACGTGGGCCCCCATTGAGATCTCGACCCTCCCCGAGGCCGCCAGCTCCATACCCCCAGCGTCTCTTGGAAGGCCCCTGGGGCCGAGAGGCGGCCTCCCGAAGCACAGCAGATTCCTAAGGACCAGCCGCCACGCTGTTCTCTTGCGGCGTGGTGGGGGCCCCCGCTCGACCCGAGGCGCGTCCCGGCTCTCCTTCCTGGCAGGCTCGGCTGTGTTGCGTCGAGCCGCCGCTCCTGGCCCCATGACCTCGGGCGGCCCGGCCCTGCGAAGGAGACGGCCGTCACCCTCCCAGCGCCCCTTCGGATCCAGACGGCGCAGTCGGATCGCGACCGCCGGCTCTTGTTCCACGGTGTTCGGCCTCTGGGGGCCGCCTGGTGGCCCCAGGGCTCTGGGGGTGAGAAACTTGCCCCCAGGATGCAACACTGGCCACGGAACAGGTCGAGATCCACGGAGGCCCACGTCACAGAAAGAATGCTGCACACTGTTCGTGTCTAATTATTCGAAGGTTCTCCGATTTTTGGGGAGGCCAAGATCCTTTCATTTCTGATTATTCTATCCTGGACCTCTTCCTGGCCAAGAGGGGGCCAGGAAGAAATAGAAACGAGCAGAATTAAAAATGAGCACGATCAGACATGAACGACGTGCACGTCAGAGGAGAACGCTTCAGAAGCCCCCTTGGGCGGCACGAGGAGAGCTTGGAGCGTCCAAGAGCCCCTGTGTCTCATTCGCTGGAGAGGCATCTGGACTCCCAACAACGGGGGGGACAACAGAACATCAGCTGCAAAAAACACCTGGTCCGCCGCCTGGTGCGACCACTGGGCTCTGCCGCCGGGGTCCGCGGGGTTCGTCCCTGCTGGATCGGCCTTGGCATCGCTCGGACGTGTGCATTTTTTCTCGGCGAGGACCATCGAGGAGCATCTTCGATTTTTCTCCAAGTCGAACCATGCACGGGGAATGGACGTACGAGCGATGGCGAGCGGCGGACCGCCATGCGAGCATCACCTGTGGGGGGCAGAGTGAGTACGACAGGGCGGTGGTGGAAGTGCCAGTGGTGGTCGTCATCGTTCTCGTCCTCCTCAACCTCGAGGTCTTCGCCACCGCCGCTGCCGCCACACGTCGCCGCACGTCGTCGTCGTCGTCGTCGTCGTCGTCGTCGTCGTCGTCGTCGTCGTTGTCGTCGTCGTCGTCGTCGTCGTCGTCGTCGTCGTCGTCAACCCTCGAGCGTGCATGGGGGGACCGGGGCCTCCGAGACCGCTCCCAGAGCACCCCGGAGGGGCCGTGGAGCCCCCTGAGTGCCCCAGAGAGCTCCAAGACGCTCCCAGAAGCCACCAGTGGACTCCGACGAGCCCATTCCAAGACAGGCCAGACAGCCCCAACGTTGCCCAAGATGGGCTCCAGACTGCAAATACACAGCCCAAGAGGCCTCCAAGAGGCCTCAAGAGAGCTCCGAGAGGCGTCCCCATACAGCCCGACGAGGCCCAAATCCTTGATTTCCATTGATTTTCCAATGTTTTTCGGTGTCTCGCGTTTTCGAGCTTCCACCGCTCCAAGACGGCCGACGAGGCCCCCCAAACCGCCCCAAGTCCGCCAAAGAGGCCCCCAACAGAGCCCCAAGACGGCCCCAGGGAACCCAGGAGCTTGCCCAGGAGGAGCCTCAGACGGCCCAAGAGAGCCCCAGCACAGGCCCAAGCTGGGCCACAGAGCGGCAGGCCCCAACGTGGCCCCAGATGGGCCCAACACGGCCAATACACAACCCAAGAGGCCTCCAAAAGGCCCCAAGAGAGCTCCCAGAGGCGTCCCGAGAGAGCCCCAAGAGGCCCATATCCTTGATTTCCGTTTTTCCTTCTTTCCAGAGAAAATAAAACACATCGTTTTCTCGCGTTCTCGAGCTTCCACCGCTCAAAGACGGCCGGAGACGCCCCGAAGATCGCCCAAGACTGCCGAAGAGGCACCAAAAAGAGCCCCAAGACGGCACAGGAGAGCTGGAAGGCTGCCTGAGAGCAGCCCAGTGCTGCTCAAAAGAATCCCAGGAGAGGCACAAGATGGATCCCAGAGCGGGAGCGGGAGGCCCCAAGGCGCTCCAGGACGGCCTAGATGATTCCAGCGTGGCCCCATACGGCAACACACACAGCCCAAGAGGCCTCCAAGAGGGCCCAAGAGACCTCCGAGAGACGTTCCGAGAGAGCCCGAAAGGGGCCTAAATCATTAATTTGCATTGGTTTGTTCGATGTGTTTCGCTTTCTCGCGTTCTTGAGCTTCAAATGCTCGAAGACGGCCGACGTTGACCCAAAGACCGCGCCAAGACCGCCGAAGAGGCACCCAAAAGAGCCCCAAGACGGCCCCAGGGTACCCGCAAATTGCCCAGGAGGAGCCCCTGACGGCCCAAGGGAGCCCCAAGACAGGCCCAAGCTGGGCCACAGAGCGGGAGCGGGAGGCCCCAAGGCGCTCCAAGACAGCCCAGATGGCCCGGGCCTCCCCCCTCCGTCCCTCCTGCTCTCCCGCCCCCTCCCCTTGCCTCCGTTCCATCCTCTCTTTTCTTCATTCCCTCACCCCTCAGCTTTCGTCGTGCTCCTCCGTCCTCTCCTGGGACGGCCCCGCCAGAGCGCAAGGCAGGCCCTGCCAGAGCGAACGGGGCATCGTTATACCCTATTATTTCACAAGTTGCGTTGCCCCTCCCATCCCCTCAAGGGCGGCCCCGGCACAACGACAAGGGTGTTGCTATACCATATACAGTCCGTGTTTTGTATTGCTCCTCCCACCGCACCCGAGGTAGCCCTGTCAGAGCGCACGGGGTGTGGCTATACCATAATTTTCCGGAGGTTTCGTGATCCTCCCTCCCCTCTTGGGCAAGCCCCGCCAAAGCGCCAGGGAAACCTGCTCCAGAGAAAGCAGGGCACCCTTACACCATACTATTTCACGCGATTCTCGCTCCCCCCACCCGACCCGCCCGAGCGAGCCGGGTGTGGCTACACGATGCAGGGCGAGCCCACTTCTTGCAGGGCGGACCCGCCCGAGCGAGCCGGGTGTGGCTACACGATGCAATTTCCTAGGTTTCGCGCCCCTCCCTCACCTCCTGACAGGCCTCGCCAGACCACCAAGAAAGTACCGCCAGAGGCCCTGTCAGAGCTCCAGGCAGCCCCATAGATGGGACTTGCCAGGCAAATCATTGAGCATTCCCCGTGAGCCCGCACCTTCTTTTCCCACGGGTGCGATTATCGCCAGCATGATGTTTGGCGCCCAGCACAAACAAGTTTCCGCACACCCGTGGACGGACCCGACAACAACTGATTGCACAGAAGGGCGTTGATGACCAGGATATCTGCGCGCCCTCTGCAGATACCCGACAGCTGAACGACCGCTGAAACGAAGAGCCTGTGGCACAAGGAACAAAAACAGTAAAACTAAAAACGCGTTCCCACGCGCGCGCAATGAGGCCCCGAGCCAACCCCAACATCAGGAGCCGGCGGATGTGCGCGTGATCTGGCATGGGGAGACCGAACAAATGCGCAAACCAATTGATTGACACGACGGGGCGGAGCGGACGTGAAAGTGGAGAAACAACACATTTCGATACGCCAAGCAAAATCGACAACGATATTGTGAAATACGCGGGGACGCGGCGCCCCTTGTTCCGGCTACGCGTTTCTTTGCGTCGAGGGAATGTGCCCGAGAACGATGCAACTCGTCTTTGTTTCCACATCGGGGCTCACAGCTGTGCCCGCCGCTCATCGGGGACGAGAACGCAAGCGCGCGCGTAGCGCGAGCATGGTTCTAGTACACATATATATATATATATATATATATACATATGCATATACATACATACATACATACATACATACATACATACATACATATATACACACACGCAAGACTGCATTGGCGCTGCGCGCCATGCACCTTGGTCATTTAAGTTCTGCACGCAAGCGGAATGCGTGCGTGCGAACATGCGCGCATGCATGTATACACGCGCGCGAGCATGCGCGTCCCGTATAAATGTCGAGTTGTATACAATTTAGTTACATTGTTGTATATGTGTGTATACAGCGTACAAATGTACATTTAAACTTACGTGTGTAAGGGTATGAACGTGCATATGCAACTCGTACGGGGCATCCTCGGGCATCTTCGCTGCATGCCACGGGACCTTCAACGACTGGGTCGCAGTGTGAAGTGTCATGGGGGCAAAATCAATGAATGTTGGCATTCGGAAACATCGTGGGGGTGTTTTCGGGGCCCTCGTGGGCCGTTTTGGCGCCTTCATGGGCCGTCCTGGGGTCTTCTTGGGCCGTCTTGGGGAGCTTGGGCCCGCTGGAGCCCCCTTCAGACCCATCTTGGGCATTTCCGGGGACCTCCCATAGCCCTTTTGGGTCTGTGCTGGGAGCCCTTGGGGGTCTCTTGGTTCCATTATGGGCTGTCTTGGGGCTCTCGTGGGCGATCGTGGGGCCCGGCTCGGCCGTCTTGAAGCTTTCTTGGGGGCCTTTTGGGGCGTCTTGAGGCGATCTCGGGGGCTTTGACCGTCTTGAAAGCTGATGGCATCCGAAAGGCGAAAATGTTAAAATTGTAAGTTATACGGCGGGAATGGGACGATTTTTGTGGTTTGAAGGCCCTTTGGGAAGTTTTTTTGGGGGTGCCTTGGGGGTATTTACGTGGGCATTCGGAAACATGGTGGGGGTGTTTTCGGGGCCTTCGTGGGCCGTTTTGGCGCCTTCATGGGCCGTCCTGGGGCCTTCTTGGGCCGTCTTGGGGAGCGTGGGCCCGCTGGAGCCCCTTTTTGGACCCATCTTGGGCATTTCCGGGGACCTCCCATGGCCCTTTTGGGTCTGTGCTGGGAGCCCTTGGGAGGCCTCTTGGTTCCATTATGGGCTGTCTTGGGGCTCTCGTGGGCGATCGTGGGGCCCGGCTCGGCCGTCTTGAAGCTTTCTGGGGGGCCTTTTGGGGAGTCTTGAGGCAATCTCGGGGGCTTCGACCGTCTTTAAAGCTGATGACATCCGAAGGGCGAAAATGCTAATATTGTAAGTTGCGCGGAGGGAATGGGACGTTTTTTGTGGTTGGAAGGCCCTTTTGAAAGCTTTTAGGGGTGCCCTGGGGGTCTTTATGTTGGCATTCGGAAACATCGTGGGGGTGTTTTCGGGGCCCTCGTGGGCCGTTTTGGCGCCTTCATGGGCCGTTCTGGGGTCTTCTTGGGCCGTCTTGGGGAGCGTGGGCCCACTGGAGCCCCCTTCAGACCCATCTTGGGCATTTCCGGGGACCTCCCATGGCCCTTTTGGGTCTGTGCTGGGAGCCCTTGGGGGTCTCTTGGTTCCATTATAGGCTGTCTTGGGGCTCTCGTGGGCGATCGTGGGGCCCGGCTCGGCCGTCTTGAAGCTTTCTTGGGGACCTTTTGGGGCGTCTGTGGGCGATCTCGGGGGCTTTGGAACCGTCTTGAAAGCTGATGACATCCGAAAGGCGAATATGCTAACATTGTAAGTCTCACGGAGGGAATTGGATGATTTTTGTGTTTTGAAGGCCCTTTGGAAGGGATTTTGGGGTGCCCTGGGGGTCCTGTGGGCCGTCCTGACGCAATTGGAGTCCCTCTTGGAGCGCTCTTGTGCTGTCTTGGGCCTCCCTTGAGCCTTTCTGATGACCCCTCGGATCGCTCTGGGTCTGCTGGCAAGGCGTTTATGGAGACCCGGGAACCCCGGTGACCTTTTCCAAGGACGTCCAAGGGAGCCCGAGAACCCCAGATCCCGGTGGTCCAGTTTTTTTTTGGGGGGTGGTGGTGGTTCCCCCCCCCCCGGGCTTGTAAAAATATAGGAAGGGGACTCTCTCTCTCCCTCTCTCTCTCTCTATATATATAGATGTCGAATCAGTAGCGTCAGCATTCCTCCCATCTGGAGGCGCTCTCCGACCCTGTCACGCATAGAGGCCGCAGATAGGTAATTTTAAGCGCGTGGCTCGCCATAGTGGGGTCAACGCAATCATACAGGACCTGCGGAAAGCAGCGGCCCAAGCTGACCTGGGACATTTCTATAAGTGGTTCACGAAGTTATGCGTCCGTGCGCGTGGAAAGAGCAGGGGAGGACAGTGACCGTTGACGGCGGAGGAGGAGTCGCAGTTCGCGGAGGGGGCGACGGGGGGCGACGCGGGGGAGGTCAGCGAGGGCGCTTTGCAAACAGGTCTTCCCATCACCCCAGTAAACGGCACATGATAGGCCTCCAGATGCAGATGAAATCGCTCGCGCAATATTGGAGATGCAAGCAGGCCAAGCAGGGGGAGCTGAGGAGTCGTTCTCGCTGGCGCAGCGGGGCGGGGGCAAGTTTTAGGGCGAAGTCATCGTGCTTATTCGAGGAGTGCGGCGACGGGGCCCTGCCCTCGGCGCCGATCCCTGAGCGGGGCGGCTGGTGCACTGCCGCGTGAGACAGGGGATATCAATAATGCAACCATTTGTAGATGCATACCGTTGGTCGCCATCATCAGATGTATTATCGCCGAGGTCTTGCAAACAGATTGCGCGCCCATTGCGAAGACAACGGTTCGTGGCCTCAGACGCAGTGGCCTTCTAGTCCGCACCGCTTGACGATGGGCTTGTTTTTCATGCCGAGAGTGGCGTCGGGATTGCCGGCAGAGGCGGCGCCCTTCTGTCCATGGACAGTCCTGGGGAACAACTTGGAAGCGGCCGTGGCAGATGCTGGGAAAGCGCACCCCCGCTTTTCATGACCTGCAATGGGAGCGGAAGTGTAACTTAGCGGAGCCCTTGCGAGGCGAACCCGAGTGATGATTGTAGGCGGAATCGGCGATTGTCGCCTGAGGCGGGGAAAGTGAGCCTCGTTATCTTTCGCGGGGTCTTCGCGAGGGGCCCCCGAGCTGCCCGGGCGAGTTAAGTTTGCATCGCGCGCGCCGCGCGTGACTTCACCGCGCGCGCGCTCGAGTCCAGTTTATCGACGCCGGAGTGGGGGCGGATAGCGCGGAAGGGAGATAATTGAATCGCTGGGCGGCTCGCCGCGTGATTTCCAACGCCGACCCAAACGGCGAGCATAAATCGGGCGTGGCCCGGCGCGCGCCCGAACGCCCGGACGTCGTCCTCGCGCTACTCGCGCCCCTCCCCGCCCCCCTCCCCGCCCTGATCGTCGTCGTCGCCCCCCCCCTCGTCCTCCTCGTCCTCCTCGTCTTCCTCGTCTTCCACCTGCCCCAGCTCCTGCTCTTCGTCCTCGCCCAGGGCCGCGCCATAGGTTGCTCTCGGCGTCGTGGAATGGGCGATCACTGCGAAGCTCGCCAGAGCCCCGATGCGCGCCGGGACCTCAGATTGATAGCACGCGTTCGGCAGAGCGGCCGACGGCAGCCACGCCGAAGGCAATGGAGCGCGGGGGGCGGGGGGGGGGCGGGAAAGGGCCCGGGGCGGGGTCGAGATCTCAAGGAGGGCGCGCGGGGGGGGGGGGGGGGGGGGGCTGCCATCCGAGGGGGCGGCGCGACCCCCCCCCCCCAGTGGCGACGAGGTACAGGTTGTTGGGAAGAGCAAACCCCAGCCCTTCCGCCCCCCCCCCCCCCTTCCCCGCCGCGCCCCCCCCCCCCCCCCCCCTCCGCGGCCTGAGCGGGCCGCCCGGGCCAGCGGAGGGCGCCCCGGGGGGCCAGGGGCCCTCGCGTCGATGAAAGAAGGAGAAGAGGGGGAGTCTGGGGCAGACGACGGATCCTGTAGGTTTTGCCTGGCGCGCGAGATTGCCATTTTAGCGCGCTTTGCGAGGGCGAACTCGCGGGTCGCTCGACAGCGACTGGGCGCCCCTGCTCTCTCGCGAGCGCGCCCGCGCAAAGCGGGCGCATGCCGTTCGTCGCGAACGCAGGGCTAAGAGATCGAGCTCTGGCTCAAGGAAGGAGTCGCAGTTCCTGCGGGATCGCCGCCGCGAGCGGCTGGATTCTCGGGAACGTCCGCGGCGAAGCGCGCGCGGGTCGCGCTCGAGGCGGGGGGGGCCCGAGCCCGTCGGAACGCAGCGGGGCACAGGGCGCCCCGCTGACCGGGCGCTGCGTCGGAGTGGGTAGAGCGGCGGGGCGAGAAATTGGCACCCTGGCGCTGCAGGGCCGCGAATTGAAACGCGCGCGCACGAGGTCCGCCGACGCGACGCGGGCGCGAGAGCAACGCGGTGCGCGCGAAATTTGTCTCGGGCCCAACTTGCGCAGATAATTGAAGGATCGGCCGCGGCCGCCGAGATTTGCGCAGGTCAGCCACCAATGACACCAAGCGCAGGTGCAATTCAGCGTTAAAATCTGCAAAGGCGCAGTTGCATGTCGGTTGAAGATGCAACTCGTCGCGGTCGCTTTGCTTGCTCAATGCGTTGCCAGACCCCAGTTGTTTCTCATCCGGGGTCGGTTTCGCCGCGCATAGCGCCTCGTTTGCCGAGAACAAAACCGCTTCCCATCGGATGCGCCATCGGTTGCGCCGTCGACGGCCGAGGATTAAGCCGTCTCCTATAGGTTGAGCCATAGGTTGCGCTCTTGGCGGCCGATGATAAAAACCGCTTCCTATTGGTCGCGCCATGCCTCTTATCGGTTGCGCCATGGGTTGCGCTGTCGGCGGCCGAGGGCAAGACCGTCTCCTATCGGTCGCGCGCCCCCGGCGGCCCAGAATAAAACCGTCGCGCGACGGGCGCGCCGCAGGTTGCGCCCTCGCCCCCGCGAAAAAACAAACGTCTCTGTCGGGTACAAAACCGCCTCTTATCGGTTGCGCCATAGGTTGCGCCCTCGGCGGCCGAGGATAAAACGCACTCCCATCGGTTGGGTCATAGGTTGCGCCCTCGGCGGCCGAGAATAGGCTGTGCCATAGGTTGCGCCTTCGGTTGCGCCATAGGTTGCGCCTTCGGCAGCCGAAGATAAAGCCGCCCCCATATCGGTTGCGCGCCCTCGGCGGCCGAGAATAAAACCGTCGCGCGACGGGCGCGCCGCAGGTTGCGCCCTTGCCCCCGCGAGTAAACCGTCTCTGAGCGGTTGCGCCAGAGGTTGCGCCTTCGCCTATGCGAACGAAATCGCCTCTGACCGGTTGCGCCATAGCTTGCGCCCTCGACGGCCGAGCATAATACCGCCTCCTATCGGTTGTAAAGAAAGTGCGCCTCAGCTGCCGCTATCGTTTGCGCCATAGGTTGCGCCCCCGGCTGCCGAGAATATAGCCGTCTCCTTTCGGTTGTGCCATAGGTTGCGCCCTCTGCGGCCGAGAATAAGACCGCCTCCTCTCGCCCCCGCGAGTAAATCCGTCTCTGATCGGTTGCGCCATAGGTTGAGCCCTCGCCCACGCGATTAACGCCGCCTCTGACCGCTTGCGCCATAGATTGCGCCCTCGGCGGCCGAGAGAGAACAAAACCGTCGCGCAATGTGTGCGACCAGTCTGTTCTGCTCACATCAATTCAGTTCAGTTCAGTCAATTTATTTCGCGAGAGACGACTTCGCGCCACGCCCCAAAAGAAGGTGGAGCACGAGCTAATCGCAAACCTTCGGCCCTAGGGAAATCGGTGCATTTGTTGTTTGTGTTCCGCGGACGACACAAACCTTATCATCCTCGGTAAAGGCCAAAAGGCAGCATGGCGCCTGGCAGGAGACCTCGAGGGCTTCGGGGCGGTGGGTTGCACCAGATAAGCAGGCGATATTTCGCGCGGGGTGGGTGGGTGGCGGGGGAGAAGGAGGCGGCGTTTCATGTGCAAGCTTTTCGCTTCCCAGGCGTTCGTGCGCAGTCCAGCGGCAAGCGCGATGGGCGGCCATGAGCGCAAATCTCGCGTCGGCGCTGCATGACGCAAGGTGCATGGGCAGATCCTTCGCTGGGGACTGGCTCCGAAGACGTTGGGGCGATGTGTAAAAGCCGCGGCGTTGGCGGCGCTTTTGCGCGGACGCGGAGCTAGGGGCTTTCCGGCATATTATAACGTGCTTTGGAATCGGATTGTTCCAAGGATCATCGGCCAGAAGACACGGGGAATGCATGATGTCAAGCTGGCGATGCCGGATCTCAAGGTTAAGCGCGGAATTGAGGCCATGCGAGTGTTCTCGGACAAGGGAGAGTTGCAGTTATTGGGCCACGTGGTTCGTCTTGTGGCTAGTTATCTGAACATCAGGAGTGCGATTGCGACGAATTCGTGGCGGTTCGGCCCTCGACGAGGGCTCAGCCTGCAATGCCGGTGGAGGAAGCTTTGATGGCATTGGAGTTGGGAGTGGCCACTGAGTGGAAGAGGGGGCATGGGGTTGCACAGCATGGCCGACGCGTCTGGCGCGGCGAGCAGCGATGCGCAAATGGGTCAAAGTTGAGCGGGGCAAGGATACGAAAGAGGCTGGCCGGCAAAACGCGCGCCGGGAGGGGCGCGTGATCGGACTTGGGCCCGCCAGCGAACCAGACTCACAGCGCCCACAGGTACCGCGTTTGATTCGAATGACAAGGCCTTCTGGCCATGTTGTGAGCAGCGTGGGATCTTGGTCAAGTGGCGCCCGCGTCAGCGGGCAGCTCATAATCCGCCGCGCCCGCTGAGGAAGCCGGCCCAGCGCCGCAGCGCAGCAGTTGGCCGGCGCATTCGCGGGGGGAACACTGGCGCCAGCAGGGGCATGGGGGGTGGGCGGCAGGGCGCAGCGCGCGGTGTAGGACGGCCCCGTGAAGAGGTAGAAGGGGCAAGCCACAGTCGAACACAGAGACTCAAGCAGCGGCGGAGCGTCCGAGCTCGCCCATAGGCCCACCAAGGGATGTTAGAGGAACCTCTCGTGGTCCGCGCGAAGTGTTCGTAGAACAGTTTTAAGTGAGACTGTCTTCTTTTAAAGCGCATCTGGCTTATATTCTATGAGCATTGCATTCGTTTTTAGAACAGTATTGGATTCAATTAGAATTTCGCGGTAGGCATGTAGAAATGCCGAGACGGTTGGCCCCTGTTCAAGAGACGGCCAGCGGACAGGCAGGAGGTTGCGAGCACTGCTGCTCCCTAGAAAATCAGCGGGCAAGGTTCGGCGCCATCGTCTCCGCGGCAAACACGTTCGCCCAGGGATTGTCAGCGTCTCGGAGGGGCCAAAGTGGGCGGAGGCATCGCCCCCCACGGCAAACGTCGCGGGGGACAGGGGCGCCATGTAGGGCCAAAAGAAGCGGCGCCCATGGGCGCTCGGATCGCGCTGACGAGGAACAAGGAGAAGGCGGATATCAACATCCAGAACGCCAGCTCGGGGTCTCAAGAGGGCGACGAGGGGGGCGCGGACAAGAGAATGCGGGATGAGAGGGCCAGCGGTTCGGAGAGGCACCAGGACCCGTGGATATAAATCGGCGCATCCGTCTGGGATTGGGATCTCGTCGGAGGGCTCGGAGATGTTCCTGGAGACAAGGAGGGGTGATCTTATCCCGGGGGCTAGTCCTGCAGCGTCGATGTCGCGGCAAGAGCTGCAACGGTTGTTCTCTTTCTTACCGTCGCCGAGCTCGTGGCTGTTCGTTTGGAGGCAAGCGTCATGGATGGGGATGCGCAGCGCGCAGTAAATACACGTGGTGCAGGAGTGCGCTGGGCGGCGAGGAGCGGAAGGTGGCCGAAGTGATTCCAGCGCGACGGGGGCGTATTCCACCGCCCGCGCAGGGCTTTGCAAACGCCCCCACCGGGCTCCTGATGCCCCTCTTCTTACGCGCCAATGGCGCAGGGGCCCTTTCGAGGGCATCTCAGAAACGGTTGCAAGTGAGCGCGCGCGCGTCTCCATGCGCCGTACGATGCGTGGACTGCGCCCGCGAGATACTGCGTGAGGAATCAGATGGATCAGCCAGCAGATTGCGCGCACTGTGGCACGTTAGTTTTGGCCAGGCGTGCATCAGACAGCATGGCAGGAATTGTGCGCATCGTCGCGGGGTCGCATTTTAATGTGTGTGGCCCCCGTCATCGGGGCCACCGAATCGTCTATGCAGTCTCGCAGTGCGATTCGCGTTTGCCGTGGCTCTTGGTGGGCCAGGGTTTGATGTGAGTGTCCGACGAGCATCGGGTCTTCGTTTCTTGTGCCTGTCTCGGGGTCGGGCCCAGCATGTCACATCATCCCGCGCATCTCGCCAACGCACGCAAGCAAGCTGCGCGGGGGGCCGCCTCGTTCCAAAACGAAGCCGAAGGGCGCGAAGAAGAAACGCGGAAACGGAGATGCCCTTCGATTTCTTTCCAACTATTCCACGACGTGCAAAGGCGAAACCAAGCACATGCTCGCAGCGAAACCATGCGTGGATGTCAAAACGAAACCAGTGCATCCCCCTCAGAAGCACGACGGCGATGGCCCCGAGGTGACAGGGCAGCACGAGCAGGAAAAGCAGTTCCCGTGCCTTCCCAGTGGCATGGATCGCAAGCAGACGCGCGCAATTACCGCAGCTTTGGCCTAATGGGGGAACAGGATTCGGCGACGGTTTCTCACGAGGCAGCAAAGCAGGCCGCGTTTCTTTGTGCCGTTCCCGTGGAAGTGAGGGGCATGTTTGCGGCGGCTTTCGCGGCAAATTTCAATGCCCCGAAAGAGGAACACGCGTAGAAGTTCGAGAATATGTTGAGCGACCCTTGCACTGGAACGTGCAAGATCGCGGCATGCAAGATAATCGCGGGAGTGAAGAAGCGGGACATCATGTCGCTAGAGGTTGCACGAACAACCCCCCAGCAGGAGTCGGAAGCGTCTCTGCGGGGGGGGGTGCAGCCTCAGGCCAAGTAGCAGAAGAAACGGGGCGCTCGGCCCCCCTCCTTTTTAAGCCTGGGCGAGAGCTCGGGCCAGGGGAGGGGCGCGATGTCCCAGGACGCCACGGTTGTCGCATGAACGACCGTCGTCGCCATCTTGGGTTGTGGTTGTGATTTGCGATGCTGCTGCCGCTTTCGAGCACTGCTGGGGGGCCGCGAACTGTCGCCACTTTCCGAGCTGATCACCCTAAACCCTACACTCCACTACTCTGCCTGCCTGGGGCCTCACTCTTCGTCCTTCTATCGCTTCTCTAGTGTGTCGGGCAACGTGCGCGCATCTCATGCTGCTTGCACAACAAATGACGGCGCCTACACTGTCGCTGTCCATAAAATTTGGGCCAAGTCCTCTTGTCACTTGATGCGTATGAGTTGGGGACGACACGGGGTAATGCATCCATACGCCGCAGGCTAGCAGCGTTACCCGCAGCATGCACCAAGCCAGCCTGGATCCACGCGGAGACCTGTGCTCGGAGGTTTTCGGGAGCGTTCAGGGGCGCCGGAGGCCTCCCAGTCCAGGGCTCCGACGGGCGGTTGTCGCGAAGCATCCGGGACACCTCTTGTTGTGGAAGTCGATGAACGCAGAGGAAGCATGCTGCCCAAGAATGTCCAGATGTCTAAAAGATGCTTCACATGTATTTTAGCTATGTAGAAAAACAGGTTTGAGACATGTTCAGAACATGTTTTACACATGTTTGACACATCTTGAATTCAATGATCGGACTGTTAGAGTGTCCACTGTCATGGCATCCATTAACCTCTTGGGTCTCGTGGGGCCAGGCTTGGGTGCGAACGCCCGGGGGCAGCCTGCCCTTTGGCGCGCCCCCCCGAGCGGCCGGAGAGCCGGGCGCCCTGCCGGAGGCCAGACGTCCTGGACGCCACGAGGTACTTCCTGGACGGCGAGATCCTGTCCGCCTGAGCCTCCGACGGGCGCGCCCCTCGTGGGCGGGAGACAGGAGGAGGCGGAGGCGGAGGAGGAGGAGGCGGAGGCGGAGGCGAAGGCGGAGGCGGAGGCGGAGGCGGAGGCGGAGGCGGAGGAGGGGGAGGAGCAGGAGGAGGAGGAGGTCCACACCCGTGACCTCGCGGTCCAGACCTCTCGGCCGCGACCCCGTGGATGCAGGGCGGCGTTGCGGGGTTGCGCGCATATGTTCATCGGCTCGCGTGTCCGTCGGATCCCGCTTCGACATCCGGACCGCAGGGACACGAATGTACGCTAGGTTCGTGTCGTGTCGACGCGGCGGCGACTCCGCCGCGGGCGTTCCGAGGTTGCGTGCCACCGGTGGCACAGAACCAGCCAGCATGGAACGATCTGGCGATCGAGGAGCTGCCGACCTTCCGAAATGGAACGACTTACGCCGGGGTCGTCACGACAAGAACCCGTTGGGCGTTGCGTAATGGGGGGGTCATAAATGGGGGGGCGGCGAGGGTGGTCCGAAAAGGTACCCAAATGGTACTAAACGAGCCCCCTGGGGCTCTGGAGGGGCCCGAAAGGGGCACGAAAGGGGACCGTTTCTGACCCCCCCATTAAGCCACGCCCAAACCCGCCGTTCCCGGTCGGGAGCATTCGGATGGCGTGCCGTTCCGCCGGCTCTGGCCCACCGCGCTTCGTCGCGACACGCTGTCCGCTCCCCGCCCCCGAGCGTCCACGCCCCGAGCCGTTCCGAGCCCCCCGCCCCGCGGAGCGGAGCGGCGCGCCCGCTGCTCGTGGGGCACAGCGTGTCGCCGGGGCGGCCGCGGCGACACGCTAAGCATCAGGAGCGAAAGAAGGACGTACATGTACATGAATCTACGCTGGTTTCGAGAGCACGCGTTGCACAAATGTTCGTATCACGCGGCCGGTCACGCGAATCGAGGGGCCGTGTTCATGTACATAGCTGGGCGCGTACGTCCTTTGTGGGCTCCCTAAAGCAACAGTTCCCGACCGTGGATGTTCAGGAACGGGAGCATATACATTACCAGTGGCGGGCTGTTTTTCAGTTCCGGGACTCTTTCGAGGGTCGGGGACGACGCGTCGGGGTGGTGTGGGTGTGCACTCTTTCCTCGCTTCCACCGGGAAGCGACGACATACGTACACACAACAGGACCCCGTATACACCAGGATATGCTCTCCGGTGCGAGTTTCCGTGCGGGGCGGGAGAACGCTCGGCCCCTTGGATGTCTTCGGCGCTCGTGAGCCCCATCCGCGCTGTTCGGCGCGCCGCCCCGCCCCCCCTGCGCGGGCGAGGGGCGCGCCTGCGTCCCAGTGGCTCGGCGGCGCGCCCAATGATGGGGATGCGGGGCGAGGGAGGGCGGCTTCCTCGCCCAGGCCCCCCCCCAGGAGAGGAGGGAGTTGAGGAGGATGATCCATGGAGCAAGACATGTGTAAAACATTTTCAGGACAGTTCTCCGACCTCTTGAACACGTGTTATTATTTGATGCTGGGACTGTCAGGGTGTCCATTGTCGTGGCATCCACAAGGAGAGAGCAGGGGTCCTGCGTGTCTTTCCTCTCCCCTGTCGCCTCGTCGTTCGTCCCCCTCTGTGTTCGTGTCCTCGTCGTCTTCCTCCAGATCTGGCGGGCGGGCGCGGAGTCGTCCCCCCTTGGCGCTCTCGTCCTCGGCGCCCGCTTGCGGGCCACGGCGCCATGCCCATCCCGCCCCCTGCGCACTGACGAGCTCGACCTGGGAGTCCCTCGCCGTTCTGGGCCTCCGATGGGCCCCCACAGGGCCCCGGGCCGTCAAAGACACGATTCGGGAGGAAACGCTGGCGTGGGGAAAGTGTCGGGGCTTACGGGGTCCCGTGCAAAGGATTTGGGCATCGGGTCTCTGGGCAGGGGGCCAAGGCAAAAAGAGGTCGCCTTCTCTCTCTCTAGACCTACCCCCTCCTCCGACGTCGCATCGCGTTTGTCCGTGACGTAGACCCCTTGAGGATCCCGACCCCTCACCCAATGCCAGCTTTTTCATCGTGAGACGCTTTACCCCGCCCGACAGGTTGGGGTTGTCAGATTTGATGAGAGACCCCGCTCGCCAGCCCAGCGCACCGCGGCCGCCAGGCCCAATCATTCCTGAGAATCCCGCGCCGCCCGCCAGCCCTGTATTCCGCTGCCGCCAGGCCCCCCCCTAGTCTCGAGTCACCCGGGTCCCACTGCCGCCCCCCAACTCGTTGGGCCCTGGCATCGAAGCGATAGAACATTTGCCCGACTGGTGAAGAACGACAGGCGTCACGGCGCCACGCCGTCAACGCACATCGAGAACATACACCAACAGTAAACAATAGAGCAACCATTGAATTACCCGCAGCAAGAAATTGAACTCATAGCAAAGAGCAGAACACTACACGAAGAGCCGACAGCAACGACATGCAACAAAAACAACCGGCCTCCACCACGCACACCCATAATGTGCAATATATCACGCATACTCGCATATGAACATATGTGCTAGCCAGCGTGGACCTCAGCTCGTGTGTATATAGAAGTATATTGTGTGCGATGTATGTCGAGCTATGTTTTTGGTGCAGCCCATGAAATCCAATATATGCGGTGCAATCTCTGTGGTGCAACCTATGTGGTGCGATCTATGCTGTGTCATCTATAGTGTGCAATGTATGCCGTGCGATCCATGTTGTGCAATCTACGTTGTACAGTCTACGATAAACAATCCAGGGAGAACCAGCTATGTTTTGCAAGCTACTGAGTGCAATATATGTGGTGCGATCTATGCTGTGCAACGTAACTATGTGGTGCAATCTGGGTGGTGCGATCCATGTTGTGCAATCCACGTGGTGCAACCCATGTGGTGCAGTATATGCGGTACAATCGTTGTGGTGCAGTATCTGTGGTGCAATTCATTCACCCTGCCGAACCTGAAGTTGTGAATTTCACTGCTCGCGTAGTCAAGCCACCACTCACCCGCAACTTGGTTTGCAATACCCATGTGGCGGCGAGTGCGATGACTGCTTGGCGCTGGCTGGCGCATCGCTGCGGCCGCGCAAGCGCGCGCAGGATCACGCGCAGAGCGGCCAGCTAGTTTGACGCGGCAGACGCGTCCGCGGTGGCGCCGATCTCTGGGCACTTCCAAGCGCCTCTCGCATGCCGCGCTGACGCGCAAAGACTTCAGCTCGAGTCGGTGACTCGGGCGGGCGCGGTATCATGGCGACGTCGTCGAACGCAGACACTCTGAGACCCATGACGGCGTCGATGCTGATCACGACGATGACGATGATGGCGTCCACGTGTCGGCAATGAAGATGTTGGAAGGATTTCGACATGCGCGCGCGGCCTGCGGGCGCGAGCGGCCCTCCGTGAAATATCATTGCGCACGTTGCAATGTGTGCTCAAGCCCTTTAGTCAGGGCATGACTTGGCCGTCTCTCGCAGAGCTGGCCCGCGGTACCCCAGCCTGCTGCCTTCCACCTGCGGACGGCCTTGGCGGCTGCCAGCTGTCCTGCCTGTCCCTCGCTGGAAGGTCCGTCGGTCACGCTGTCCGCGTGCCCGGCTCTGCACTGCGGAGACTGTGCCTGCCCTGAGGTGGCGTTGGGCTTGCTCCTTTGGGCGCGCGCGACCGTCTCGCTCAGTAGCGCCGTCGCGGGCACGGCGCTGGGCTGTGCCGTCGGTGCGGTCGCGGGTGGCGTCAGGGGGATACAGGCGTCAGGTCGGATAGAGGCGTCACGAGCTTCACCGGCCGTCAGTGGAACAGAGGATTCGCTGCAGCCTTGGACAATAGAGTCTTCAAATAGAGGCGCTGTCTTTAGGCGTTTCGGGCCCCCCCCTGGGCCAGGCCCCTGTGTATATATATATATACACATAGATATTCCCTCTATATGTGTATATATACATGTATATATACATATATATATATATATATATATATATATATATGTATACATATTGCCCCCCCCCCCCAGGCTCCGCCCACTCCGCTAGCATGTCCGGCAAGTCCCCGGTACCACCCTCCCGGGCGTCCAAGAGAGCTCCCGTGAGGCTTGAAGACGGCCCAGGACGCCCCCGAGACAGCGCAAGAGTAATCCAAGGATATCCAAGCCGACCCCCCGACGGCTCCGAAAGCGCCCAAAAGGAGTCAAGATCGCACCAAGAGGCGTCCAAGAGTCCCCCAAGAGATCTGGGGAACGCTTTGAAAGGCAAGAATTTTTGAAGAAATGCATGGGGAACCAATGATATTCTGTTTCCACACACTTCTGCCTCCGACACGCTTCCGAGGCTTGAGCCTGGCCTCTGAGAAAGCTCCAAGAGGCCCCACAGAGGCGTCTCGAGCGGCGCGAAGTGGACCCACGAGACCACAAGAGGTTCCAATTCCGCCCGAATGGGCACCACCGAAGCCCCAAAGATGCTCCGAGCAGTCCCCAACGAGCTCCCAGGAGCCGCACCACAGGCATCCAGCGCCGCAGAGGGCCCCGAGAGGCCCCAACGGCTTCCAAGAGGCCCCCAGGCGAGCTCCAAGATGCCCCCAAGAGGCGTCCCGAGCGGCTCATGGGGGCATGCGCAAGCCTCGGAAGCGCAAGCCTCGGAAGTGTGAGAACACACAGATTATAAGTTCCCCTCCGGCTTTGCAGTAATGTCGGCCTTTCGAGGGTTTCCACTGAGTTCTTGGGGTATTCATGGAGGTCTCTTGGGACGATCATGGGTGCTCTTGGGGGCCTCCAGAGCAACTTGAAAAAATAGGGAATTCCTTCGAACGTTTTTTTTCAAGTTCGACCCCCGCCCCCGTTCCCCAGATTGCGTTTCCGTTTCCCCCATCCTTCGCGTCGTTCTTTTTGTTCTCTCTTTTGCTCTTGTTTCTCCTGCGTCATCTGGCCCACATCTATCTCTTTCCTCTCCTCCCTCCTCATCGCTGCGTTATTTTCCCTCCCCCCTGCTTCTCGTCTCTCCTTCATGCCTTCCTCTCTCCGCCTCCCTCCTGCGATTCCGTCTCCATCCCTCTTCGCCATCTCTCCTTCACTCCTTCTTTCCTCCGCCGCTCTCGCCCAGCATCCTGCTCCACTGGGGAGTACGAGACCCAGCTTGACAGATAAAAGGGGAATCCATCACATCCTTTGTTTTGCAATGTCGATCCCATTCGACACTTCGAGGCCAGACGCCAAGAGCCCCAGGGAGGCCCCCGAGGCGCGCCCAAGAAGTCCCAAGAGGCCGCCAGGAGACCGCCAACAACATCTCAAGAGGCAGCTTTTCCCAGAGACCCCCCAGGAGCCCTCCGAGAACGTCCCCCAAAGGCATCCAAAGACACTCCCAGCATGCTTTTGCCGGGCTGTTCGGGGCTTTCGGGCATACCCCCGCAGGCTGCCCTGGGTCCTCCACGTGGCTGCCTTGCGCGCCGTCCTGGAGCCTCCCTGGGCACTTTCCAGGGAAACAGCTGGGGGATTCGCCCTGCACGCAGACATACGTCGCGAAGTCGTACTGGACGTCGCCTCCATTAGAAGAGTGAGCCGCGTCATCTGTCTGGTACCGTATATCGTGCATCATCTTAACGCTTCCCAGTAAGGCGCAGTACGGCCTAAGGTATCCCCAAGGACGCGCCCGATACGACTTCGATTGATTTTGGCAGCCTTTAGATGGTTTGAGCTGCCCAAGATCTTTTGCCCCCAGGGTTGCCAAGTGACCTCACAAACACCTCCGAGATAGTTCGAGAGGCCGTCCAAACGCCCAGCAGATCTTCAAGACCGCTAAAGACGGTCCACAGGCCACGAGCCCCCCGAAGAAGCCTCTCAAAGGTTACCGTCGGGCAGCTGCTCGATGTATCTGCTCAGAGCAGCAGGATATCTTGGGTCCGCATGGGCGCTTTCAGAGTCCATCGTGGGGGGCTCTATGGTCTACAGGTCGTCAAAGGGCTCTTTTTGGAGACCTTCAGGGCCGTGTGAGCGCCTTCTTGGGTCGACTTGGGGTCCTGGTGGGCCGCTCTTGGGCCATCTGTGCTACCTTCTTGGGTCGTCTTGGAGCCCTCCCGGTTCCCTCCTGAGCCGTCTTCAGGCCATGTTGTGGGTCTCTCGGGCTGTTTTGAGCCGACGAAAGCTCGAAATTGCGAGAATGCTAAACTCCGTGAAGCACGCAGGAGCAATCGGTGATATTGGCCTCTTCTGGTTTCGCTGGAGGCTCTATTGGAGCCCTGTTGGGCCGTGTTCGAGGTCCCTGAGGCCGTCTCGAGGACATGTGGGGCCAGCTGAAGCCGTGTCGGAGGCCTCTATAACCATGTTGGCAGCTTTCGTGACCAGGTCCGTGTTGGTGGCCATCTTTGGCGCTTTCGTTTTGGACGTCTTGGGGAGCGCCTGGGAGGCGTCTTGGCCGCCCAGGGACCTCCAGGAGTAGGGGTGGTGCGCGCGAGGGGGTGCGATGAGACCATGCAAAGACTGCAGGAACCTTGCCAGACAACACTTGGCATCCTTCCCCGCCTCAACAAGCCAGGACGGTTGCGGGCATGTTGTTTCGTCCTCTGTTGCTTCGTTGCCGAGTCTGTGAGGAGACGGTGGAAATTGTATATCAAAGGAAACGGTTGTCGTTTGTCCACTGGTTGTTGTTTCATTCGCTTCTTCTTGATTCGTTTATACTTAATACGCGTTTGGTTATCCGATTCCGCATGGTTTCGATCATCCGGTTTCGATGTTTCGATTTGTCTGAATTTGTGTTGCCCGCTGTTGTTTCTTCATCCGCTGTAGATTCGCCCAGTTTTATCGCATCCGCTTTTGATTCGCCCGCTCTTGTTTCATCCGTTTCTAGTTTGCCCGTGGAAATCAAGACGGGCGACCTTAAACCCAGGTGAATGAAGACCGGTCGAATTCAAATCCGGGCGAATTTCAATTTGATGGATTTGAACCAAACTTCAATGTGTCGACCCAAACGGGTGAATGTAAACCTGTGAACCGAAGCAAGTGACTTGTAGGTGAAACGAAGCATAATCCACCAGGATTTGCCAACCTTTCCTGACATGAGCGGGAAGCGCGTGAAAAGGAAGACTTGCGCAAGAACTTGCAACATCACCGTGATCAAATGTAATATAGGCGAGCTCTCTGAACGCTCACAAAGGATACGTATACACGCGCCCCCCGAACGTTTACAAGCATCTTCCTGGTTATCCTCCTCACTCCTCCGCATGAGGAGGACGAAAGCGAACACGACAATCGTGGGAGGAGGGGGAGGAGGATGAGGAGGAGGAGGAGGAGGAGGGGGAGGAGCAGGATGAGGAGGAGGAGGTGTAGGACCAGCAGCAGCAGCAGCAGGAACAGCAGGAACAGAGGGTGAGTTGGGGACGGGGAGGAGGACGAGACAGAGGAGGAACATGAGCAGGAGGAGGAGGAGGAAGACGAGGCGGAGGAGGAGGAAAGAGAAGGAGGAAGAACGAGAGGAGGAGGAGGAGGAGGAGGAGGAGGAGGTGGAGAAGCAAGAACAGGAGGAGGAAGGGTAAGAGAAGGAGGAGGAGGAGAAGGAAAAGGAAAAGGAGGAGAAGGAAGAGGAGGATGAGTAGGAGGAAAACGAGGAGGAGGAGGAGGAGGCGACTAGATGGCTTCGGGGGCCCGTTCGAAGGCAGTGTGTAATGGATGTCTTGAGTGAAACGCTGATTTTTCAACGAAAATCGCTCCGAAAAGATGCCTTACACGAGCTGTGTCGGCACCCCATTTGTTTCGAGGATGTCTCTGGCGAAACGCCCAATTTCGAGGAACCGAAAATTAGGCGAGCATGCGTAAGATACGACCCCCCAACTTCACGATGTTGTGAAGATATCTCGAGCGAAACGCTCATTTTGGGAACCTTTCCTGACATGGACGGGAAGCGCGTGAGAGGGAAGAGTTGCGCAAGACCTTGCAGCATCATCGTGATCAAATGTAATATAGGCGAGCTCTCCGAACGCTCACAACGGATACGTATGCACACGCGCCCCCAGAACGTTTACAAGCATCTACCTGGTTATCCTCCTCACTACTCCGCATGAGGAGGACGACGGCGAAAACGACGATCGCAGGAGGAGGGGGAGGAGGAGGAGGAGGAGGAGGAGGAGGAGGAGGAGGAGGAGGAGGAGGAGGAGGGGGAGGAGGAGGAGGAGGAGGAGGAGGAAGAGGATGAGGAGGAGCAGCAGCAGCAGCAAGAGCAGGAACAGAGGGCGAGGAGGGGACGGGGATGAGGAGGAAGAGGAGGAACAGGAGCAGGGGGAGGAGGAGGAAGACGAGGCGGAGGAGGAGGAAAGAGAAGGAGGAAAAACGAGAGGAGGAGGAGGAGGAGGAGGAGGAGGAGGAGGAGGAAGAGGTGGAGAAGCAAGAACAGGAGGAGGAAGAGGAGGAGGAGGAGGAGGAGAAGTAGAAGGAGAAGGTGAAGGAGGAAGAGGATGATGAGGAGGAGGAGGAGGAGGAGGAGGAGGAGGAGGAGGAGACCAGATGGCTTGGAAGGCTCGTTCGAAGGCATTTTGTAAGGAATGTCTCGAGTGAAACGCTGATTGTTCAACGAACATGTCAAAATCACGTTGATCTGTTTCAGTATTTTTGCTTCTTGGGCAATCTTGGGGGTCATCCGAGATCGCTCCGAAAAGATGCCTTACAAGAGCTGTGTCGGCATCCCATGTTTTCGAGGACGTCTCGGGCGAAACGCTCATGTTCGAGGATCCGAAAATCAGGCGAACGATTTCAAGATCTCCATGTTTGGAGGATGTCTCGAGCGAAACGCCCATGTTTCGCAAAATACGTGTGAAGGTACGACCCCCAACTTCAAGATGTTGTGAGGATGTTTCTAGCGAGCCGCTCATTTGTGGGAACCTTTCCTGACATGAACGGGAAGCGCGTGAAAGGGAAGAGTTTCGCAAAAATTTGCAGCATCATCGCGATCACGTATACTGTAGGCGAGCTCCCCGAGCGCTCGCGAAGGACACGTCTGGACACGCGCCCCCCGGACGTTCACAGGCATCTTCTTGATTATCCTCCTCACTCCTCCGCATGAGGAGGACGACGGCGAAAACGACGACCGTGGGAGGACGGGGAGGAGGAGGAGGAGGAGGAGGAGGAGGAGGAGCAGGAGGAGGACCAGCAGCAGCAGCAGGAACAGAGGGTGAGGAGGGGACGGGGAGGGGGACGAGGAAGAGGAGGAACAGGAGCAGGAGGAGGAGGAGGAGGAGGAGGAGGAGGACGAGGCGGAGGAGGAGGAAGGAGAAGGAGGAAGAACGGGAGGAGGAGGAGGAGGAGGAGGAGGACGAGGTGGAGAAGCAAGAACAGGAGGAGGAAGAGGAGAAGGGGGAGGAGGAGGAGGAGGATAAGGAGGAAGAGGAGGAGAAGGAAGAGGAGGAGGAGGAGGATGAGGAGGAGGAGGAGACAATATGGTTACGAGGGCCCGTTCGAAGGCAGTTTGTAAGGTATGTCTCGAGCGAAACGCCGATTTGTCAACGAACATGTAAAACACACGTGGGTTTTTTTCAATATTTTCGATTCTTGGGCCATCTTGGAGGTCATCCGAGATCGCTCCGAAACGATGCCTTACAAGAGCTCTGTCGGCATCCCATTTTTTCGAGGACTTCTCGGGCGAAACGCTCATGTTCAAGGATCCGAAAATCAGGCGAACGATTTCAAGATCTCCATGTTTGGAGGATGTCTCGAGCGAAACGCCCATTGTTCGCAAAATACGTGTGAAGGTACGACCCCCAACTTCAAGATGTTGCGAGGACGTTTCTAGCGAAACGCTCATTTTGGGAAGCCGCCAGGTCCAGGACAATGAGGCGGCGCCGCGCGCTCCCTCCCCCAGACCCCCCCCCCAGTTGATTCTGCCACTGGCCGAGAGAACGTCCATCGCGCGACTCTTCGAGTCTTAGCGCGCTTCCCGTCATCCGCCACGTCCTGCACCCCGAGGCGATCCCGCGCGTTCCCCCCCAGACCCACCTCCACTTAATACTGCCCCTGGCCGAGAGAACGTCCAACGCGCGACCCTTCGAGTCTTAGCGCGCTTGGACCCCGAGGCGGCGCCGCGCGTTCCCCCCCCCAGCCCCCCCGCAGGTGATAAAAAGATCCCTCTGGGCACACAGACGTCCATCGCGCGGTTCTTCTAGTCTTAGCGCGCTTCCTGTCACTTGGCCTCGGCCAGTCAGTGCATGACATGGGCGCTGCCCGAAGCATTCCTCGATTCCAGGATGCGTCTGTTTGCATTTTGAGTGAACGCGCCGATTACTGCCAGATCTGGGGTGGCACAACTTCCTGCTACACGCGCTCGCCCATCTGAACGCCGCCGACGTCGTCGAGCCTTTTATTCCCTCCCGCACATCCCCCAGATCTACGACGTGATTCACGGCGTCGGATAGTGTTCTCGGGCCTCCGAAGTTGCCCCCGAGAGGCAGGAAACAACGAATAGCTCAGAGGCCCCTGCGGTGAGAGAAAAAACAGCAATGCCGTTCCTCGAACATCCAGGCTTCCCGCATTGGGTACGAGGAGATATGTCAGAGGGTCGCGCCGCATCGCCGATGCATTGGCGACACGGCTCGCTGTGGTGCCCGATCTTCTCCACGCCGACGTCGCCGATGCATCGCCGACATCGGTGGATCATCGCCGATGCATCGGCGATGCGGTGCGATCTTTTGACCCCATCTGTTCGTACCACATGTGGCCTCCAGAACATCGATCCATCATTTCTTCGGTGTAGTTCGGAAGCTGGAGCATATACATTACCAGTGGCGGGCTGTTTTTCAGTCCTAGGACTTCTCGAGGGTCGGGAACGACGTCGGGGTGGTGTGGTGTATACCTGGTTTCCCGCTTCCCACGGGAAACAGCGAAAAATATATACACCAGGATCCCGTGCACCCCAGGATCCGTTGTCCTGTGCAAGTGTCAGTGCAGGGCCAGACAGAGCGTGGGTGTATAGAGCTCGTTTCCTTACTACAGTCCGCGCAGACTTGCCCGCAGCCCGGTGCGCCGCGCGGCGCGCGGGCCCCCCCGCGCGCGAGCGCACGCTGGGCGCGCGGGGGCCATGGACCCCCGCTGGGCGGAGCCCTCGCTGGCCAAGCGCCGGCGCCAGGACGCGTCCGCGTTCGAGTGCTGCGTGGTCAGGCGCACGCGTGCCGACAGTGCGCTCGTCCGCCCCCGTCCCGCTGCTCGGCCCGAACGAGAGGGGGTGGTAGGGAAAGGGAGGGTTACGAAATCTGCTGCATGCAGCTGGTTTCGGCCCCACCGAGGGGCCCATTTTTCGATACATGGCCGCCTCCGGCGCCAGGAGGCGCCGGGAAAAGCAGCTACGTGAGCTGATTCTCCCCCCCCCCCTTGGCTAGCCCCCCCGTTCGCCCTTTGCTATCTCCCCTCAGGCGCGCGCGTGCCGAAAGCACTCGTCCTCCCCATCCCTCAAGCAGTGGCGAAGCGTCCCGGCTCGCTTATAGCCCCACCGAAAAATGTTGTAAGAACCTTTTGTGGTCTCCACGAAATGTTCTTAAAACCTCTCTGGCGGGGTCTGTCTTGTTTTATCACATCGGGTTGATGTTTTAAGAACATTGTTTTTGTTATTAGAACATGTTTGGGTTCTAAGAACATTTCGTGGCCGGACTATAGGAATGCCGGGACGGTCGGTCCCTGCTCAAATCCCTCTTCACCTTCCGCCCTGGTCATCCTTCCTCCGCCTCGCCGGATGATATGGTCAGGAACTGTCGCTCAGCGTGTCGCTCTGCCGGCCCACCACGCTGCGGCGCGACACGCGTACCACGTCCCAGCCCTCAGGCGTCAGCGTCCCGCACATTTCTCCGCATCCCGTCCCTCGGAGCGGAGCAACATGGCTCGCGCTCGCCATGCCCCCCGTCGCGACTGTTTAAGCACACATTCCTCCCTGTATGCTGTTGGCATAGAAAACAGTTTGTAACTTGGTCGTGTTGCGTGTTCTAATCAAGCCCATTGCAAACCCGAGTTTGCCGAAAGGTAGATGCAGGCATGTGCCCAACAGCGATGCGGAACTCGCAGGGCTTGAGTTTCAATCGTCCATGTGGATGGATGTGTGTGTGCCCGTTGAGGCTAGCGAGTGTTCGTGGAGTGTCACGACGTCCGCATAGCATTGCAGTAAATCCTCGATGTCAATGATGTCGTCGAGCGCACCATCGCGTACACCGTCTTCGTCGCTTCATTATCGAAGACGCCTACGGCGAATCATCGCCGCCCCCTGCCCTTTCGGAGGCGCCATGCGGCCGATATTTGGGGTAGAGCTTGGACCATGTGCTTCCCGAGTCAGTTTGGCAAGCCTTCGGGGAACCCTTGGGGGGAGAGAGGAAGAGGAGGAGGATGGGGAGGAGAAGGAGGAGGAGGGAAGGAGGAGGAGGAGGAGGAGGAAAAATAAAAGGAGGAGCAGGATTCATCCTTTTTGGAGCCTCTTGGATCATTCTTGGGGCCTCCTGGAAGCTTCCTGGGGGTCTTTTGGAGACTTCTTCAAGGCCTCCCTGGGGCTCTTGGGGGCTCCTGGGGAGCCCCTGGGGCTATATTGGCGGAATTAGTTGGGCCGTCTTTGGTCGTTTTGTGGCCGTCTTGGGCCGTCTTCGGAATCATTGGGGCTCTTGGGTCACCTTGGGTCGTCGGAAGGCGGACCAGAAGCACATGCCACAATCCGTCAAACGCCCGCAGCAAAACCAATGATGCTGGCCTATTAGAATGATCCTCGAAACCTCTTGAAGGCCCCCGGGGCCGTCTTCATCGCTTCTTATGAGCTTCTTTGGCCGTTTTGGGCCGTTTTGGGCCGTCTTGGGGACTTCTTGGGCGACCTTGGACGCATCTTGTGCCCTTTTGGGGCGTTTCTGGGGCCATCTTGGACCCTCTTGGGCCGTCTTGGAGACCATCTTGAGCCATCTTTGGCGAACTTGGAGGCCTCTTGGGGCCGAGGCTTCGGGGACCGTCAGGAAGTCATCTTGGAGGCCTTTGGAGCTATCTTGGGGCGATCTTGGGGGCCTCTTGGACCGTCTTGGGCTGTCGGAAGGCCGAAAAGAAGCACATGCTAAAATCCTTCAAAAACCAAAAATGACTACCACTGATTTTGGCCTCATCGGGCCCTCCTGGTGGACGTCTTGGACGCCTCTTGGGCAGTCGTGGAGGCTTCTTTGGCGCCTCTTGGGCTCTCTTCGACCGTGTCGTCGGCGTCTTGGGCGGATTCGGCTGCATCTTGGGCCCTCTTGGAGGCCATCTTGGATCATCTTGGGCGAACTTTGAGACTGTCTTCGCCATCTTGGAGGCCATCTCTGGCCGTCTTGGAGGATTTTTTCGGGTTCTGTCGTCCTCTTTCGGGTGGCCAGCGGGACGGGCCGAAGCCCTAGGGTGAGTTCTTAATCAAATCGTGAGAAGTCCAGGGCGCTGCGCACCCCTGTGGCAAGACCACAGGGGGCGGTGGCTGGCCGAGAGCGCGAAGCGTCGCGATCCGTCAACCGGGAGAGGTAACAAGGGGGGGGAGAAGGCAGCCCCAGGCCCAGATGACGGAAAGCGCGCGTAGCGTCGCGATCCGTGAGTCGGAGATAACAGGGGAGATGGCGGAGGGGTAGGCAGCCGCGGCCCCAGATGACAGAAAGCGTGCGTAGCGTGTCGATCCGTTAGCCGGGAGAAGTAACAAGGGGGAGTGTGGGAGGGGCAGGCAGAACGGGCGCGGATAACGGAAAGAGCGATGTACGAGTGATAACATTCCTGCGTGGAGCGAAGCCCCTTTGCGAAGGGTCCAGGGGAGGGGCGAGGGCCGAGCAGGCCGTGTGGGGACTGTGCTGCTTGGGTGTGGGGACTGGACTGGCCCGAAGAGGGGTGCCCCAGAGGGCCCCAAGAGGGCTCCAAGAGAGCCCCAAGAGGGCCTCAAGAGGCTCCCAAGAGGGCCCGAAGAGGCGGTGTGGGGACTGGGCTGCTTGGGTGTGGGGACTGGGCTGGCCCCAAGGCGGCCCAAGAGTCCCAAACCAGCCCTGAAGGGGGCCCCCAAAAGACTCCCCAGAAGCCCCAGAGACGCCGACGCCAAAAAACACCATGGCTCCCAACAGCGAGCGGTGACGTAACACGCTCTGAACACCAAGGCTCCCCAGAGCGCGGTGACTAAAAAAGCTCTGAACAACAAGGCGCCCAAGAGCGAGCGGCAACGTAAAAGTCTGTGAACACAAGGGCTCCCAACAGAGAGCGATGACGCAACAAGCTCTTCACGCCAAGGCTCCCAAAAGCGAAAGGTGCCATGAGCCATCTCGGGCAAGTTCCTGCAGCGCTCTTTCCGTTCCCGTGCTGGCCCAGGTAGTGGAAGACCGAGGTACGAATGATATACGTTGAGTTGGAGCATAGCTTTCTAGGGACGGGTCCAGGGGAGGGGCGAGGCTTGGGTGCATGAGTGTAATGGCCGCCTGGGTGCCGCTTCCCTCATATTTTTTCTTGTGAAGCGGCTCCCGGGCGGCTCCCATGGCATGTTCCCTGTTATTTTTTCAAGTGAAACGGCTCGATGGCCCCGTGACGGCCCAAGAGGGCCCCAAAGCGGCCCAAGAGAGCACAAAGACGGCCCCAAGAGAGCCACAGAGGGCCTCCAGACGGCTCGAGAGAGCCTCGAGATGGTTCCAGAGGCCCTCGAGAGGGCCCTCGAGCTTGAGGAGGCCAAACACATTGGTTCTAGTTGACTTCTTCAGGTGTTTTTGTTCTGGTCCTCGCTCTTCTGGGCCCAGAGAGAGCCCAAGGCGGCCGGCCGCAGAGGCCCAAGAGATCGTCCCAAGGCGGCTCCAGAGGTCCCCCAAAGTTGCCGAACACGGTCCAAGAGGGCCCCAGACGGCCCAAGAGGGCCCCAGAACGGCCCAAGAGGGCCCCAATACGGGCCCTCTTGGGAGGCGTCTTGGAGGCCTCTTGGAGCGTCTTGGAGGCCTCTTGTGCCGTCTGGAGGCCACAGACCGCGTCTTGGAACGGTGGTTCGGCGAGTCGGGGCTCTCTTGGAATGTTTTGCGTCGACACAGCGTCCAGAGGACCCCCAGGAAACATCCCAGAATTCACAGGGGGCCGCCCCAGGACGGCCCGAGACGGGCTGGGCAACGACTGGTCCAGGCCCTCAAAGACTTACAATTTTGGCTGCAGCAGCAGCACAACCTCTACCTCTCAGTGCTGCATGAGCCTTGGGGCACTCCACTTCGTGGCAGAGGCAAAGTGGCGGTCGTCTCATATATGCAGCACCCCGCCATTTTCCCCAGTTCCCGTCGAATAGCCGCAACGTGTAGACTTGAGAGGGCGTGGTGGATGCATCCATTGCTTCTGCCAGTGAAGCCGTTGAACCAATGCAGGAATATCCCAGTTTCTCACGGGGTCGCATGGCATCCAGGAGGATACATCTCGCTACCCCTGGAGGCTTCGAGGGTCGTCGGAGGGCAAGTTGCAGCATACGATCCAACGTAATCGTGAAACGCCGAGGCGTGCAGCTTGAATGCTCACAAAAGAAGAGCCCCTCAAGTCGCGACGAATGTTCAATCACACGGGCCTGCCACAGGTCACAACAACAGCCTTCAACATGTTGGACACGACTCGCCTAGCAGTGTTGCCCCACGCATTATTAGTTCAATCGGTAATGATTCACTGACTCATCGTTTCGGCTGAAACATCTGTCAGTCTTTTTTTGTGGGCTCTGTGTAACACGAGCAGTCATGTGTGCACTTGCGTTTGTGATCAGCGCTGCCAGCGTTGGTTGTGTACATGCGGCTGAGGTGCTTAACCCACAGCCCATCAATGGAGTATTTGTCGCTGGAGGCGTGGCTGCGGTCCTGGCCGCGGGGGTTGTCCTCATGATCGCCCAGGTGCCAAAGGACATGCGCGGCCCTGGGAATTTCCTGAAGGTCAAGACTTTGCGAGGAGTCGAGTCTTTGCCCAGTGTGGTCTTGGCGAACGTGCTTCCCGCCTTGACGGTAACGCTTGTGTCCGTCCCCCTCAGCTGTGCTCTCGGCATCGCTACCGGTACTTCGCCGATGGCGGCCATTGCCACTGCCATCGTGGGTGCCCTTGTGAGCGGCAGCTTCGGGGACTCGGCCTTCAACATTATTGGCCCCGCCGGGGCGCTCGTGGGCATCCTCGGCCGCTTCACCGCCAAGTACGGCCCAGAAATCGTGCCATGGCTCTCGTTGATGTCCGCTGGCTTGATCGGGCTCACGCTCCTGCTGCGCCTCCACGAGTACTGCATGTTTATGCCGAAGGCCGTCTTCGAGGGATTCACTGCAAGCGTTGCCCTCACAATCGGCTTGGGACAAATCGACTTTGCCCTCGGTCTTCAGTCTGGGGAGCCTCTCAAAGTGGAGGGCCTCGAGCTCTCCCCATCGGTCTGGAAGCTGGCCGCATCCATCAAGGCCCTCGGTACCGTCCAGGCCTCGAGCACTGTGTTCTTTCTCGTTGGCTTTGTGACGATGTACGTCCTCTTCAAAATGAACCCCTCGATCCCTTGGAAGGTGCCGTTCGCAGTCGTGTCCTGCTTCATCGGCTGTCTTTGCGACAAGGATGCGTTCGGCGTTATTCCGGTTGACCTGCCCAACCTGAAGTCCAAGTACGGCTTTCTGAGTTTTTGGATGGCTCAAGGGCTCAAGCCCTTGACAGAAATTGTTCCAGAGGCCGCCAATGGGAAAGGGGGCAGCTACGGCGAGGTTTTTGAGGGTGCTCTCTCGATCGCGATTGTGTCGATCCTGGAGACGTTAATCAGCTGCCAGATTGCCAAAAACCGCTCCAAGATGCCCTACAACGAGGTCAAGGAGCTCCAGGGGCTGGCCCTGAGCCAGGCAGCATGTGGAATATGCGGCCTTATGCCTCCCGCTGGCGTCTTCGTCCGCACCAGCGTGAACTTGTCTACCGGAGCCACTCACAAGACGTCACAGTTCATTCAAGGACTCTTTGTCTTCCTGTTCGCTGCGCTTGCCATGCGGGTCTTGTCCTTCATGCCCCAGGGTGGCATTGCGGCAATCCTCCTCATGTCGTGCGTCCGTATGGTGCCATTAGGCTACATGCGGAAATTGTGGAATGAGCAGAGGTGGTATTTCGGGCTCCTCTGCGTGGTGGCGCTAACTTGCTGGCTCATCGACTCCGTGACTGGGCTCGCCGTAGGGACGATTGTGGCCTTGCTCGTGACAGGAAAGGAGACCGCGCGCGGCCACGCGGAGGTCTCAATCACGGCGGCAGGCAACAAGCGGCTCATGGACGGCTCTCCCGAGATGATCTCGATCGATGCCCTTGCGGTCGATGAGGTGGACTTGGCACACACGGTGGAGCTGGACTCGGAATCAGAGGATGATTCCTCCTCAGGGTCTGAACTTGAGCCGATATTCCCCGCCAGCCCAGCAATGCACCACTCCCACTTGGCATATGCCCCGGAGTTCGACCAGTTCAGTAGGCAAGACTTCGGTCGGCAGACGAGCGTGACGCCACATCTCTTCGCGGGGGAGGGCCCTGAGCGTCTGACGCCGACGGTGCGTGGTGACCGCGTCTTCCTCTACAAGTTCCTGGGGCAGGTGGACTTTCTGTGCGGGGATAGGCACGTGGATCGTATCCAGGCGCTTCTCAAATCTGGGCCTAAGGCCGTGGTGCTCGCCTTGCAGAATGTGCCGTGGGTAGATCCCGACGGCTTGGAGGCCCTGCGGGATATCGTCACGATGCTTGACGACAACAATGTGCTAGCATACATGGCTTGCCCCCGCCAGAAAGTTGCAGAGGCGTTGGAGACGGAGACCTGGTACTCCGAGAAGATCGGCAGCGGCCAGCATGTCTACCCCACGGAGAAGGCTGCCCTCATCGCCGCAATAGCGACATGAGCGGATGTTCAGTCCAACGCTTCCAGCTCCATTTTAACAGGGGGTTGGGCCCGCCGGGGGGCCACAGGTCAAAAGGTGAGCAGCCAAGATGTCTTGATGATTCAGTTCCTGGTCAAGATTGCGTTTCTCTTGGCGAGCCCCTTTGTGTTTTATGCCAATCGTTCGCGCATGGTTGCAACGTCACGGGAGGCAAAGGTTGGAAGTATGGTCCGCAGGGGCGTTCGCCAAGATCACTTCGGATCAGGCTTAGGCCCACCGTGCCAGATGATTATCGTGCGATTGGCCAGGTAGGGTTGCGGCAGGCGTCGGGCTTACATCCTGGCGACCAAGCTGTTCCTGCCATGGCAGACAGCAGTGGCCCCAACGGGTACTTTTCAATTATTTAGTAGTCACGGTCTCTCCGAAGGGACGAGGCGACGAGTTCACACCTGAAAACAAGCTCTCAGTGTTCATTGGGCACGATGCGTGTAATTCCTTGGAAACGTGCCAGGCGTCCCCGACAGACGCTTCAACAATTTTGCGTATTGAGTTGTCATTGAAGTGGTGCGTCTGGAATCATCGCAGGAGGCAAGGAATCCAGCTCACCCGATGCCTTTGGGAAACTGCGGAAGCCTGGAAGCCTCTAGGATTTCCCCAGAGGGCCTCAGACGGACTCAGAGACCCCTGAAATAGTAGACGAACATACGACATACGCAACATATAGAAATATGCAAACACCAGGCCCTGGGAAGTCTCACAGCAGTCACGGAAAGCTCGCTAGCTCCAGAAGTCCCTTGGGGCTTCAGATGGCTTGCATGGCATCCCGCACGGCCAATACCTCCCCCGCATTATCGTCCACTTGCGCAAGCCTCCGAAAACACCTGCGAACCGTACAAAGGAACGCGGAAATCGCCAAACCCCTCGGCTCATTTGTCCCTCCTCTTCCCTCCAGCAGCGAGGGGGGGAGGGAATGCGTGCAGCACTGCTGCGGTGGCGTGGCCCGAGAGAGGGGAAGCGGCCGTCGCAGACAGGGGGTGTGCGGCACCATTGCATCATACAGCGTGCGGCAATTGATTGCGAGGGGGAGGAGCAGCAGGTAAAGATGCGGCCGTCGGGGCGCGCGCTCGCCTCCGCTTTCCCTCCCGCGACCCCTGTCAAAGTCAGACCTTGACCTATTCTGGAGCTGGCTCTCGCCAGGGTTTCGAGGCGAATCTGGCCCTTGCGACCAGGGCGAATCTGGCCCTTGCGACCCTGCCTCCTCCTCCACCTGCTTCTCCCAGACCTTCTCGCCCCACGGTGAGCGCGCTCTTCCCATTCCTCCCCCTCACGTGACGGAGGGGGCGGGGGAGAGAGGGGGGATGTGCGAGAGGGAAAAGGGAGGAGGCATGAGAAGGATGGGGAGGGAGGGGCAGCGATGAGGTGAGGAGCGCGAGGGAGCAGGGAGGGGGGAGGGAGGGAGGACGGGATGAAGGCGACAGACCAGAAGAAGCGGCAGATGCGGAGGTTATCCTGTTCCTTTTCTGTTATTCACCACCCCTTCCTTTACCTGCTCTCCAGACACCAGACGTCGTGTGTTTGTTCGCCGCGTAGACCCCGAGGGTTCCGCGGTGCGGATGCATGTTTCTTATTCGTGTTGCGGGGCCCCGCTCGGCGACCCACTCGCGATTTGCCTCGCGACACACCCCCGGTCTGCCCCGCGACCCCTCCGCGATCCACCCGCACTCCACTCTCGACCCGCCCAGAGGCCCACTCACAACCCAATCGACCCTCCAAGAGACCCGACAATTTCCGCGCCCCTCACTCTTATATCCGCAACGACGGGTGCCCTGGTAGAGCGAGACATTGTGAGCCGATCTTAGGGCCAGGAACGTGCTTTCGGAAGCCAAAATACCACTCCGCAGCTGCGGTTAAGTGTTTGGTGGTGGTGGTAGTGGTGGTGGTGGTGGCGGTGTTGGTCCTGGTGCTGGTGCTGGTGCTGGTGCTGGTGGTGGTCGTCGTTGGCGGCCTGCGAGGTTCGGACACACATCTGATGGAGCTCGCCGCAGGCGTCAATTTGCCACACATTGCACAATAAGCCTCACAGAGTTTCTTACACCAGAGACAAACGCTGGCTAACACTGTGTGACTGCCGCAGGTGCCGATTTGCTGTCACAACAATTTTAGGGAGTCGCGCGGGTCGCGGCACAAAACAATAACCGGCACCGCGGAACCGCACTTCAGCCACCCACCCAGGGACAGTGTTACACCATTCGCATCCCATCGCTCTGACAACAGAAATTCCGCCAGGTGTTCTCAAAGGCGCAAAGGGGTCATTGGGATTGGGGTTGGAGGGTGCGCGGGTGGAGCGATTACCCACAGGACTTCCCCTCAGGTGTATTGACCATACGATTTCGAGGCAGATCCATTCGCGGCCGTGAGGGCGCCCCCCCCAGAGGCTCCCAAAATTCTGCCACATATCCAAGAGCGGTGCTTGATCCTTGATCCTCGAACGCCGATCTTCCATCCTCCCATTCTTCCTCTCCCCCTCTGCGGAAACGGTTGCCGCGAGACGCCTGCCGGAGGCCCCGAAAAGGCCAAACGCACGTTCAAGTTTAGAGCCTTGATCTTCGAAAAACGATATTCGAACGTGGATCGCCCCCCGGGCTGCGGTGGTGATTACTGCATGAGGGGGAGCAGTTTCCAGCAGAACAACGTGCCCTTCGACCACGACGACGCCGATGACGGAGACGAGGCGTGCTTACAATCCGCGCCGAAGCATTGGTGCACAGCACGTCGTCGAGATGTGTTGCGGCCTCCCTTCGAACACAGCCCCCCCGCCCGGGAGCAGCAGCCAGACACTGGGCGTTTCAACCCCGATGCCTTGCTGTACAGGGTGCGCGTTTCGGCACCCCCTGCCCCAACCATGTGGAGGAACGGGAGGAGGAGGAGGAGGAGGAGGAGGAAGCGAAGTAGGAAGGGAAGAAGGAGGAGGAAGAGGAGGAGGGCTGATAGGGGAGGAGGAGATGAACTATGGAGAACGCGGAGACGGAGGAAGGACGAGGAGGAAGGAGAAGAAGGATTAGGAGGAGGGGGTGGGATTGTGGTGACATATGGAAGCAGACAAACCAGCACATTCGTCCTCCTCACGCCCAGACCTCTCCGGCCAAGGGGCGTTTCTGAGTTTCACTAGCGCTCCGCGCTAGGCCCAGTAGCCAGGGCAATGGCACCCTGCTTTAATTTTAGTAATTCTGGAGAAGGAGAAGGAGGAAGAGCGGGAGGATGGAGCAGTAGTAGGGAGGAGGAGGAGAAGGAGGAGGAGGAGGAGGAGGAGGAGGAGGAGGAGGAGGGAGTAGAGCGGATGAGCAAGTGTGAGGAGGAGGAGGACGAGGAGGACGAGAAGAGGAGGAGAAGGAGAAGTGAGGTGGGGGAGTGAGGAGGAGGAGTGAGAAAAGGAGGAGGAGGAGGAGGAGGAGGAGGAAGAGGAGGAGGAGGAGGAGGGGAAGGAGGAGGACGAGGAGGAGGAGGAGGAGGAGGTAGTTGGTTAGTTCCCTCTCCCCCGCCTCGGAAAGGGGCGCCGCGCAGCAGCTCGCGGCGCACTTCGGGGCGCCCGTGAGCGGCGCCGCCGTCCTGAGGGTCTGCGACAGCGTGACGCTGGCAGCCGGGAGGGCGGCCCGGGGAGTCTCGAGCGAGCGGCAACATGGGGGCAAGAGGACGTGGGGGGATCGTTGGTCGCAGGGAAGTGGCCCTGACGGGGCTCCTACATCCCCCCCTAAATCCCCCCCTCCGTCCGACCCTGCGTTTGTATGGCTACAGCAGGGCTTGTTTGATGGTTTTTCTCGTGGCCTGCACGTCCTGTGGATCACTGTACTATTCACCGTGTGTGGTTCCATGCTCTGAATGTGCATCACATTACGCACATTCGTCCAACCGTTCTCCAACCTCTTTTGTATACGTTTCATCGTCATTTATGTGAATTATGCTCCCTCGTCCAATTCCTCCTTCCGCATTTCTCCTCCTCCTCCTCATCTTCCTCCTCTTCCTGATCATCTTCGGCATCGTTTTCATGCTCTTATCGATTCTCCTCATCTGGTTCGCCTCATCTTGCGGCCCTTCGAGTGGTTGTCGCGTCGCTTTGCGACTGGCGCGTGTGGCCCGCATTGGGATATCTGGTACGGGCCGAGCATTGGGCGCTTCTTTGATCAGCGCGGATGCACCGCGTGTGGCATGACCATGAGGGTGCTGGGCTGCACTGCTAAACGTATCCGTTTTTTGTATGATGTCAGCGGGTGCGTGCCCGCAACACAAAGTCAATACTCGCGACAGAACACCTCATGCCTCTGCAGTGTGTGTTATGTTGAAAACCTTGCATCATGTGCGTCAGGTCTGATATCGGCATGTGCGCGCGTGTGTGAGATGCGTGAGTGCCACCTGTTGCCAGACATTCTTGCGAAATGTGTGTTGCGATAGTGGAGTGTGCTAGTCTTATTTGGCAAAGTCATGGGGCGATGCCCGGCTTGGTTGGGATGGTATGAAGTAGCGTGAACCACGAGCGACGAGGCAGAATCACATGCAATTTGCGGCGTCCCAAGGGTACCGATAAGTTTGGGGGGGCAGATGTGGTGCAACCTACGTTGTGAAAGCTGCGCGGTGGTAGCTACGTGGTGCAAGCTGAGTGCCGTAAGACATGCGGTGCAAGAAGTGTGCCATGAGCTATGCAGTGTCCAGTATGTGGTGTGAGCTAGGTGGCGCAATGTACGGGGTGTAAGCTACGACGTGCATGCTATGTTTCGGATGCAACTCCTGGGAGGTGAGATTCTGTTTTCGCCCTGGTCCGAAATCCGGCTTTATCCAGCTTGATCCCACCTAATCCCGCTTACTCCCGCTTAATCCAAGCCCCACTCCGGCGTAACAGCTCCCAGATAGGGGCTTAATCCTCCTTAATCTTTCCGACGAAACCTCCCAGCAGTTGCCTCCCGATTATGTGATGTGAGCTAGCTCGATGTTCCTTACTCCTTCCGTGGTTGTTCCTCCAGCCCTTCTCGTGCACCCAGGCTTGCTTGAAGCCGCCGAGGGGCTCCGTTCCTTACTCGGCCTTCCTTACTTCAGCAGCCCGACTGCACACGGGAAACATTCAATGTTGCAGGTTCCGAGGCCGCCGACGGGGCGCTCGCGAGGCGCCACCGGGCGGGCCACGAGCGGCAGCGCGGCGAGTCCTCGACGGACCCACCCGGCGCACGAGGCGCCCACGAGGCGCCGACGGGCGGGAACGTCGGAGGTTGGAACATCTATACATCACCAGTGGCGGGCTCTGTCTCCATCCCACGACTTTCTGAGGGTCGGGGACGACGTCGGGGTGGTGTGGTCTATGCTTTTTTGTCCCCGCTACCCCGTGGAAGCAACCAAACATGCATACACCAGGATGCCGTATACACCAGAATCCGTTTTCTCGTGCGAATCGCAGTGCGGGACCAGAAAAAATCATCGGTGTAGAAAGTTGGATTCCTTATTTTTCTCGGCGAGGACTCTTGAGGACCATCCTGGACCATCGAGCAAAAAAAGCACGCACGAATCCGAAAAATGCACTTGAGATGGACGTCCGAGCGACGGCAAGCGAGGCGCCCACGAGGCGCCGACGGGCGGGAACGGGCGGCAATTCTGTGATTTTTCGACAGACCGAAGTCAGACTCCCAAGTGCAGGCACTGCCTCTTAAGCACAAGTTGCTACAAGCATCCTAGTCTTCGATCTGCCTTTCCCCCCTCGGGGGCAACGTTAGGGCGGCATCGGCTCAGGAAGGGATTCCTCGACCCCAATCGCCAGTTGATCGCCGATCGGGTCACGGTAGTCCCCCCCGCCCAGAAAGGTCCGGACTCGCTATCGGGGGTCCGTTGCCGATCTATCGGCGATGCATCTCCGACTACAATATTGTATTTCTCCCTTTGGGTTGGTCCCCCCCCCGGGTTCGCCCTCCCTCCTTCCTCCACCCCTCGATCTCTCATCCCTCCTCGATCGATCCTCCCCCTCCCCTCTCGAGCGACTCGAACTCCCCCTCTCCTTGGAGTTTGGAGGCCGCCCGCTCTGCATCGCCCACCCCCCCGCCCAGGCGAAGCCGACTCCTCTCAGGTGAGATGGCGACGGCTTGCCGTCTCTGCTGTCGGTTCGGGGAGAGTCTTTCTCTGAAGTGTGAGGCTCGCCTCGCTGGGCTCGAGCTGGTTGCGGGGGGGTGGAGCAGGTTGTCGTCGCAGGCGACTTCTCGCCTCCAATGCCCGAGCCCCCCGAAAACAGAAGCAGGCCTTTCAGAAAAGAGGGGGAACACGGGGATACACACCGCTATTGTGTTGTCGGACACACCATTATGGATGATGGACGTCCCCACCATCGTACTTCCCCGACTTGAACCTTCAATTTTCGGCCCAGTCGAACATTATGTAAAGTCGGAGGTCGCGATCGCCATGTCCTCCGGTTATGTGGTTTCCACGAGCGACCAGTCGCATTGCACTAGACCTCCGATGTCTTGATGTGTTCAGCATGCGGTTCCGGGATTCGTTTTAATAAAGCCTTCTAGCCCGACAGCGAGTTTTGGAGCCCGCAAACGGCATATTACCTGGGCATTGATTTTGATTTTGGGCATTGTAGGTTAGGGGCCCTCCCCCAACGTCTACCCCCAGGGTCCGCCCTGGGGTTCGTTCTGGCCAGAATCTCCAGACGAGCCCATAAAAATATTACACAAACTTCCGAAAGTGTTTTTCCATATTCGATCATCGATCTTCTTTCACGCCCAACGGAAATTCGATCCTGAGGTGATGGGCGCCGGCTGGGCTGGCAGCCTCGCCAAGTCCGTGTCTCCCGAGCAGCCCGCCGCGGCGGTGTTCGAGTTCGTGGCCTCCTGCGGGGCGCACCTGGACGGTTTCAGCGCCGAG